TGAGAGGCATCACTTATTTTTTAGAAAAATGGGTGTATATTTTCAATATTATACAATTATATGTAAACTTTAATCTGTAGTCATTTATTATTTTTATTCCTTACATTTCTAACCAGCCCAGTAACACATATTGTCAGATTTTGCTTATGGCCAGAGCATGGTTCCCATAGGCAACCGGTCGGCCACCGTGTGAACAGATGCTTGCTAGGGAAGCCTCGGTCCGATTCAGCAGGGCTCTTCTCAGGCCGTGGCCAGTGACAGGGAGAGCCCTGTCTCTGCACATTCTCTGGGGAGGAAACGTCTTCACCTGCCTTTTCCTAGGATCTATTGGGTGACCCTGAGAGTCTAGGACTAGACAACATTGTGCCTGACATTTGTTTGGGACCACAACTCCCATAATCCCCACCCACTGGTCATTCTGCTTGGTACTGATGGGAGTTGTAGTTCAACACTGTGGGGGCACCAGTTATCCTGCTCCAGCTTTAGATGACACCTGGATGGGGGAACAGCTGGGAAACTGTGGCTCCATCACTATTCTAAATACTTGGTTTGCCTTCTTGTCTGGAGAGTCCTGGGGAATTCAAAAGCTTGCACAATATTTGGTGACTTTCCAGATGTACTCACAAAGGTATTGTGAGGATTTTGGAGGAATTGTGCTTGTCCAATACAGCTGCCTAAGCTTTTGATAAAAATCATCTGCTTTAAAACATCCACAAGGAAACTCAATTAATCAAATAACTGCATATCTTTCAATTAATCCTGAGCAAACTGGAATATGGTGGCAACCGATGTCAAGTGAAGCATACTGCGGAGAAAAAGCCCCACTTCAAGCATGAAGTGGTCTCGCAGGGCCCGTTATTGGGGCTAGGCCAACAGAGCGTCTATGCACAGGGGGCACACCAAATCCTGGCCCATACACAAGAGAAGTCCTGCATGAACTCTGCACTGGATTACCTGCAGGACGTCTCTAGCTGGTCCCTCCTGGACCCAGAGATTGGTGGACTTTGGCCTGATCCAGCAGGGCTCCTCTCACCTCCTTCATCTTTGTACAAGCATCTGCAAACAACATGGGAGAGCATGAAGAAGCAAGAGATGTTGGGAATTGATCTAGGGAAGAATGGGGAGAAATAACAACCCCTGTCCCTTTATCTGACCTTTTTCCTTTCCCAGATTCAAGAGGAATGAGCAACACCTGATCCCACTGCAGGGAACAAGGTGGAGTAAAGGTGTGCAAAGGGCAGCACTTAAATCCCTCTTGGTAGGCAGCAGGACCCAAGCAGCCACACAGCCAGGGAGAGCCCCAAGGTTGGACTTCCCCACCCCAGACTGAAGTTGCTGCTGCTTTTCTGCACCTCTTCAGCCTGCCCAGTTACAGCTCCATCTGGTGTCTGCCTTTGCTTTGCAGAGACCCTGGTGAGTTGGAGGAAGGCTACACCTCAGAGTAGAAAGAAGCAGAGATAGAGAAGGGATGCAGATGACTTAGCAAGGTGAGGAAATGTAGGAGAAAGCCTGCAAGGGATTGGGGGTGGGGGTGGGGGAGTGTATTTCTTGCCCAGCTGGAAGGTGTGGGGGATCCAGCACACGGGCAGACATGTGGAAGTGCTGTGCCTCATGGGCCAAATTGCCTCCATGTTGGAATGCACAGACTGCATTTGGTTTGGGGCCGTGGGGATTCAGCAGTGGGGCTTTTGGCTGCCCCTCTCATTCCTGTGTCAAAATGCCAATTCTTCTGTCTCCTGCAGGCATTGAGAGCTACAGAAAGGGGGCAGGTGTGCTTACACACAGGTAGAGAAGCCACTTAAAATGATGCAAAATGTTTCTCACCTGCCTAAATGGGAGGGATTTTAGCTGCTTTAGCATGCAGAATAGAAAGAGAAAGGAAATAATTGTAGAGTTTGTATTTTTAGTTATTCAATGCCAGCACTGTTTTGTTCATCCTCTGCCATCCTCTTCTTTTGCCATCTATTGTTCCCAGCATTAGACTCTTCTCCAGGGAGTCCTTTCTCCTCATTAGGTGGCCAAAGTATTTGAGTTTCATCTTCAGGATCTGGCCTTCTAAAGAGCAGTCAGGGTTGATCTCCTCTAGGACTGACCAGTTTGATCGCCTTGCTGTCCAAGGGACTCGCAGGAGTCTCCACCAGCACCACAATTCAAAGGCCTCAATTCTTCGGCGCTCAGTCTTCCTTATGGTCCAACTTTCACAACCATACATTGCAACTGGGAAAACCATAGCCTTGACTATACACACTTTTGTTAGCAGGGTGATGTCTCTGCTTTTTAGTATGCTATCTAGATTTGCCATAGCTTTCCTCCCAAGGAGCAAGAGTCTTTTAATTTCTTGGCTGCAGTCCCCATCTGCAGTGATCATGGAGCCCAGGAAAATAAAAGCTGTCTCTACCTCCATTTCTTCCCCATCTATGTGCCAGGAAGTGATAGCACTGGTTGCCATGATCTTAGTTTTCTTTATGTTGAGTTTCAAACCAACTTTTGCACTCTCTTCCTTCACCCACATCAAGAGGCTCTTTAGTTCCTCTTCACTTTCTGCCATTAGAGTGGTATCATCTGCATATCTGAGGTTGTTGCTATTTCTCCCAGCAATCTTAATTCCAACTGGTGATTCATCTAGGCCCACCTTTCTCATGATGTGCTCTGCTTATAAGTTAAATAGGCTGGGTGACAGTATACAGCCTTGCCGAACTCCTTTCTCAATTTTGAGTCTATGAAGCAGAAGTGCATGTTTTTCTGGAACTTCCTAGCTTTCTCCATGATCCAGCGCATGTTGGCAATTTGATCTCTAGTTCCTCTCCCTCTTCGAAACCTTGCCTGTACTTCTGGTAGTTCTCGGTTCACATACTGCTGGAGCCTAGCTTGTAGGATTTTGAGCATCACTTTGCTAGCATGTGAAATGAGTGCAATGATGCGGTAGTTTGAACATTCTTAGCATTGCCCTTCTTTGGGATTGGAATGTAAACTGACTTTTCCAATCCTGTGGCCACTGTTGAGTTTTCCAAATTTGCTGGCATAATGAGTATAGCACTTTTACTGCATCATCTTTTAAGATTTTGAATAGCTCAGCTGGAATACTGTCATCTCCACTAGCTTTGTTGTTGCTCAGACTTCCTGAGGCCCATTTGACTTCACATTCCAGGATGTCTGGCTCAAGGTCAGTGACCACCCCATCGTAGTTATCAGGGATGTTAAGCTCTTTCTTGTATAGTTCCTCTGTGCAATCTTGCCATCTCTTCTTAATCTCTTCTGCCTCTGTTAGGTCCTTGCCATTTTGGTCTTTTATCATGCCCATCTTTGCATGAAACATTCCCTTCATAGCTCCAATTTTCTTGAAGAGATCTCTGGTCCTCCCTATTCTATCGTTTTATTCTATTTCTTTGCACTGTTCATTGAAGAAGGCATTATTATCTCTTCTAACTATTCTCTGGAATTCTGCATTCAATTGGGTGTATCTTTCTCTTTCTCCCTTGCCTTTCACTTCCCTTCTTTCCTCAGCTATTTGTAAAGCTTCCTCAGACAGTCATTTTGCTTTCTTGCATTTCTTTTTCTTTGGGATGGTTCTAGTTGCTACCTTTTGTACAATGTTGCGAACCTCCATCCATAGTTCTTCAGGCACTCCGTCTATCAGATCTAATTCCTTAAATCTATTTGTCACCTCTATATCAGGAATATTATTTAGGTCATACCTGAGTGGCCTAGTGCTTTTTCCTACTTTCTTCAATTTAAGCCTAAATTTTGCAACGAGAAGCTCATGATCTGAGCCACAGTCAGCTCCTGGTCTAGTTTTTACTGACTGTATAGAGCTTTTCCATCTTTGGCTGCAGAGCACATAGTCAATCTGATTTCTGTGTTGACCATCTGGTGATGTCCATGTGTAGAATCGTCTCTTGGGTTGTTGGAAAAGAATGTTTGCTATGACCATCGTATTCTCTTGACAAAATTCTTCCAGCCTGTGCCCTGCTTCATTTTGGCCACTCCAAGGCCAAACTTGCCTGTTATTCCAGTTATCTTTTGGCTTCCTACTTTAGCATTCCAATCCCCCATGATGATAAGGACATCATTTTTTGGTGTTATTTCTAGAAGGTGTTATAGGCCTTCATAGAACCGGTCAGCTTCAGCCTCTTCAGCACCAGTGGTTGGGGCATAGACTTGGACTACTGTGATGTTGAATGGCTTGCCTTGGATTCAAACTGAGATCATTCTGTCATTTTGGAGATTGTATCCCAGTACTGCTTTTCCCACTCTTTAATTGACTATGAAGGCTCCTCCATTTCTTCTGAGGGATTCTTGCCCGCAGTAGTATACCTGATGACCATCTGAATTAAATTCAGCCATTCCTGTCCATTTTAGTTCACTGATTCCTAAGATGTCGATGTTCAGTCTTGTCATCTCTTGTTTGACCACATCCAGCTTGCCTTGATTCATGGATCTTATACTCCATGTTCCTATGGAGTATAGATCTTTACAGCATCGGACTTTCCTTTCCCCACCAGATACAACTGCAACTGAGTGTCCTTTCGGCTTTGACCCAGTTGCTTCTTTCTTTCTGGCACTACTAGTACTAGCTTTCCGCTCTTCCCCAGTAGCATATTGGACACCTTCCGACCTGAGGGGCTCATCTTCTGCTGTCATATCTTTTTGCCTTTTGGTACTGTCCATGGGGTTTTCATGGCAAAGACACTGGGGTGGGTTGCCATTACCTTCTCCAGTAGATCACGTTTTGTCAGAGCTCTCTGCTATGACCTGTCCATCTTCAGTGGCCCTGCACGGCATAGCACATAGCTTCATTGTGCAAACAGTGACTTGTTCGGAATTAGGTGTAGAGATTTTCCAAATTGCCCCACATGATTGGTAGGAGAAAACTTCCTGCAGAACCCCATTCTTACATGGCCCCTAGGACAAAAATGGTGTCCCTTCCCTGGTTCATCTTCTGTATTCCTCCAGTGCAGGTGCTGAGTTCCTTGGAGGCTCTTTTCTCTCCCACAAAGCAGTATTCGATGAGTGGAGATGAGCAGAAGAAACATCTGGCAAAGCAAGCGCTGGCGGGACCCCCTCAGTCACTCTTGGGAGTGCGAGGGAAGGTCTGCCGGCGTGGGCAGCAGGGAACATCATCAAATTCGGAGGGAGCAGAGCCGCAGCGTGAGATCCAGCCCATGGAGGAAGGAGGAGATCCTGTTCCTGCTGGCAAAGGTCAGGAAGCCCCCTGTGAAAGCCCCACCAGGAACATGGACTAGAAAAAGCGGGCACTGAGACGCCTTCTCCCTGGGCACCTTCCCCAGCAGATTGAAGGGTGTCTCCATTTTGTCTTTCTTCAGTTTGGCTGGTCTTTAGGTCCATTCAGTGTGCAGCACACACACGATTGTGTTGCCCAATAATTAGGATAAGTTTTTCTGTCTCCCACTTTGCCTCCTCTTTCTGCCCAGAATAAGGGCTCCCAAGGGTATTAGGCATCCTAAATCAGGTTTGGTTAAGACAGTGCGCAAATGAGACCTCAGCCCACACCGCTGGGGACCTCCCCCGGCTTCCCAGGCAGGTCTTAAGCAGCATGGGGGTTCAGAGGGAGCTCTGTGGGACTCTGTGGCATCACTGCCATTGCGCAAAGCAAGAATTCCCCATAACCACCTTCTGGACCTGGCTGGCCAAGTCGGAGCAGAACCGCTGCAAAGCAGTGCCTGCAACCTGACCATCCTGTCCAGAAGGACACTGGGGTTGATGACACTGAAAGCCACTGGTAGTGATGCTGCTTGTGACCTGGAATGAGGTTCCTGGTTGCACAAGCAGAGTTCCATGAGCGTTTGTGGACCTCCCCTCAGCCCAGGTGCCTTCTAAAAGGGGTTTGTACATGAGAGGAATCCTAGGAACTGGGAAGAGAGGGATTCTGGGGTGCTTTGTCACAATACTACCCACAGGATCTGAAATTGGTCCCTGCAGGATCTGAAGACTCCCCCACATGCTCAGAGAGAGCGGGACAGCAGCAGGAAATCTGCCCCTTGGAGGAAGGAGGAGACCCAGTTCCCGCCAGCAAAGGTCACAAAGCACCCCGTCAAAGTCTCATCAGAAATGTCCACTGGAGGAAGACGATGCTGGGACGCTCTCACTGTGGTCGCCCTTCCCACCACTTTCACGGTAAAGTTGCTCGGTTGTATCCTCTTCATATTGCACAATCTTAGCTTGAGTTCAGCTCCATTCACTGTGCTGTATACATAATGTTGCATTGCACAATGAACCCAACCAATGCAATTATAAACCAGACAGTGGGAGAATAAAACTGTCTCCACCCCAACAAAGCTGCTCACAAATTGAACACCTGCTTGGAACAATTACAATGGTAGCAGAGTGGGACAGAGGGAAAGGAGCCCCTCTTAATCCAGCAGGACTGGGAAAGGGTCAGGAGCATGGCCTGTCTCAATGGCCCCTGGATTTTCTCCAGAATTTGAGTGTCGTCAGTCCTGGGCATCGGGTGGGGGGAAAGAGGCAGCCAGTCCTCAACTGCAGAACTGGAGAACGTGCAGGAGAAGCTGTCTGCAGCTGCCGTTCCTTTCTTTGGTGTTCGTGTCCTGGAAAGGAGCGAGGCCAGGAACATGCTGTGAGGTGGAGAACAGTTTTGTAGGGGGAGATGATGGTGAGAGGAGCCTATGCCATGGAGGAGGGAATGCCAACACGCTTGGGGGCCAACAGAGGTTGGTCATGAGGGGCTCCCCAGGGCAGACGCACCACATGGCCACTGGCTCCCCTCTCACATGTCAAGCGCTGTTACTGCTTAGGGGGCTGCCCACAAAGTCACAGATTAGTAGAGGTGGAGGAGCCAAAAGGCCCTCAGGTCACCAGTTTGCACCATCCCAGTCAGATGAATGTCCAGTTTAACTTCCAATGTCTCCAGTGTGGGAGAGGCAGCTGGTTCCACTGTTGTATTGCTCTGACAGTGTAGAAACTTTCCTGATATCTAATCTGAATCTGGGTTTTTGCAACCTGATCTGATTCTTTCATGTCCTACACTTTGGTCTCAGCAAGAGGAGACCTTGACCTTCCTCTCTGTGGCAGCTCTTGAGGTACTTCCAGAGGGACACCATGTCCCCCCCCCCCCCAGTCTTCCCTTCTCAAGGCTGAACATGCCCAGTTCCCTCAGTCCCTCCTCAATCATAGGGCAGTGTTTGCAATCCCTGGATCATTTTTTTGTTGCCTTACTCTGGAACTTTTCTAAATTTTCTGCATTTTTCCTAAATCTTGGTGCCCAGAACTGGACAGTATCCCAGATGTGGTTTTACTAGTTAGGAGTACAGAGGATCTACTACTTCTCGTGATAAGGGAGTAATACGTCTATTAATGCATTCCAAAATAGCATTTGCTCTTTTTATAGCTGCATCCCCCTGTTGGCTCATATTGAGAATTGTTCAGAATAACTCCAAGGTCTTTTTCCTTCTCAGTTATGTTGAGCCACATATTCTCCATCTTTTATTGATGCATTTCATTTCTTTTTCCTAGATGGAGGACTTGTCCTTTGTCTCCATTGGATCTCATTCTGTTGCTTTCAACCCAGTGTTCAAGCTTTCTCAAGATCGCCCTGCATCTTCATTCTGCCTTCCAGGCTGTTTGCTCTTCCATCCATTTTTGTATCGTCTTCAAGTCTGATTATCTTTCCTTGTACTTCCTTATCTGAACCATGAATGATGTTGAAGAGCATTGGGCCCAGGACTGAACTCTGTTGCACCCCCTAGATACCTCCCTCCAGTTTGAGAAGGGGCCATTGATGAACACTCTGTGTCCAATTTAGCAGCCAATTCTGGATCCACCTCATAGGGTTTCTATCTAGTCCAGTTTTTCCCAATGCCGTGAGCTATCCAGTTTTTCAGAATGCCCTGGGTCTCTATGTCAAAAACTTTGCTAAAGTCCAGGTAGATTATGTCCACAGTGGTCTCTCTGTCCGTTGGGAGGATACCCAACCAAAAAAGGAGATATTAATCTGACAGGATTTATTTTTGATAAATCCATGATGCATTTTCTTTGAGGAGCTGGCATTCTGATTTTTAAATAATTTGCTCCGGAGCAGCAGCGGGCACAGGACAGTGAAGCTTCTGCAGTGCGGGGCTTTGCATTCTGGTGAGTGGCCTCAAATACAGGGAGCTCCTGCCAGGACCTTGGATTCTGTGCCACTATAAATGGTCCAGAAGCTGGAAAGCCAAAGCTAGGAAAACTGGCAGAGCTTGTGCACAAAAGTGATTCCTTGCAGGTCCCCCACTTGGGAGACTGCACAGAATTTCTGGAGCCTTCCTGCAAGCAGTGACCCTGCACAGGCTGGGATGATGGCCAGCAAGGGCAGGGCTTTCTTTGTGGTGGTCCCTCTTTGGAATGGCCTGCCCACTGTGGCCCACCTGGCACCCACCCTGGCTTCTTTTTGGCACCCCAATAAGATAGCTCTTTAAGCTGAGACCATTCAAGATTTCCTTAGATATTCAGGGGATTCAGAGGATGCCACATCCCAGGTAGTTTTTTTCTTTTCTTTTTACAAGGTAATTTTACTGCATATTTTAGTTATTTCAAAATCTTGTAATGCTGCTTTGCTTTGACAGGTGTAATGTTGTTTTATTGCTTTGTGTTTCTCAATTCTTCTTAACCACCCAGGGAGTTTCAGCCATGAGGTGGTATGGAAATGAAATTATTTTGATCATCTGCATGTGAGACGCTTCTCTTGTCTTGTAGATGCAAGCTTGCATTACGTGTGGACCAGGCCAATGTCATATGCCAATCCAATGGACCCTGAAATTGCCTTTGGAGAGCTCATTCTCTCCTGTCTATTTCTATTAAATGTCAAATACAGGATGTTGGTTTATCCATCAGGCTGCTGAACAGACATAGACTTAGGACATCCAGGTTTTCAGGCTACATTGTAACTGGTGGTTGGAAAATGGCAGTTTTGTTGCAAAACGACAGTTTTGTTAACTGCCCCATGACACCAGTAGATGGATGGTCTAGAAAAGCAGGAAGGAAGGAAGGAAGGAAGGAAGGAAGGAAGGAAGGAAGGAAGGAAGGGAGACCAAATGATTCCAGGATTTGAGGTGGGCAAGTTCAGGAATTGAATGAACAAATGAAACCTTGTTTGCGCATTGATACTTTTCTGTCATTCATCTACCAAGTTTTCAACCCATGTTTCTACTATCTTTTCTTTGTTCCATCAGATGCATGGGTGAGGCAGGTCAAGGAAAAACACCGGACATCAGTGACAAGATTGCAGGACAGAGAAGGGAAAGAGGTGCCACGACTTCAGGAGTCATCAAAGAGGCGGGATGGAAACCGAAAATGTGATAAGAAGGCTGGCTCCACTCCAGTTCTGCGTCGGGTCCTCCCTGAACAAAGTCAACGAGCAGGAGAGAGTGATAGGAAGAACCTTGAAGGTAATTTGAGAAGCCACACAGAGGAGGGAGCCAGTCAAAGCTCAGCATCTGTGAAAAGCGCTCACCTGAGGAAGAGCCCTGCTGAGCATTCACAGGTGGACTGGAGAAGAAAAAGGTTTAAATGCATCAAGTGTGGAAAGAGGTTCAGGTGGTATTCACGCCTTCTATACCATCAACGAGCGCATTCAGGGGCGAGACCTTACCCATGTACTGAGTGTGGAAAGAGCTTCAAATTGAGATTCCATCTTAAACAACATCAGCAAATCCACTCAGGGGAGAAATCCTATGAGTGTAATGTTTGCAGAAAGAGCTTCAGACAGAGGGCCCACCTGACACAGCATCAATTCCTGCACTCAGAGGAGAAACAGTACAAGTGTGATGAATGCGGAAAGAGCTTCAGCCAGCGTGCGATCCTGTGGAACCATCAGAAAATTCACTCAGGGAAGTCCTATCTGTGTAAGGAATGCGGAAAGAGCTTCGCTCAGAGAGCAGGCCTTAGATGTCACCAGCAAATTCACTCACGAGAGAAAGCCATTCAACAAGAAGTTAGTGGGAAAAGCTTAGGAGAGAGTTCCCATCTTCCACGGCATAAGGACCAGCACTCAGGTGAGAGATCCTGTCATTGCCATGAATGTGATTCCGGTTGAGTGTAAACAGCACGGCAGGTGTGTTTCCTGCTGGATGTGCCTGAAGCAGCCATTGAGATTGTCTTGTGCATGTGTGTGACCCTCGCAGTACGAAGAACTTGAAGCCATTCAGAAATGTGGCTGTGCTTTGTCATGACCTGCATATTCTGCAGACAGATCCTTGAAAACGAGGCCTGGATGGAGCAGAGGGGAGAGAGGAGGCAGGCTGCCATGGGGAAGAGGAGGAGGAGGTCTGGCGGGCTCTTGCTAGTGGGTGTCCCCACCAGGCCTGCCTTTGGAGCCCCTTCTGTCCAAGGGGTGTGACACAGTTGCTTGAAGCCCCTGGAAGAAAAGGAACGGCTCTCTCTGGGTCCGTCGGGCATTCCTGAAGGGCTGGTGTGTGAAGTCTGTCTCAACATGGTTTTCACAGCCTGTCTCTTCCCATCCTGCCACTGGGAGCCCCCAGTTGCCAGCAGGCTGGTTTTTCCATGCATTGGCCTAAAGAAGTGGGGAAATAGGGGCAAACGGCTGTGGGATCCCCGAGGACACTGTGGGACTGCTTTGTGCAGACCTTCTCGTCCTCAAGGGGCAGGAAAACTTGAGAAGAGCCAGGGCAGTGTTACGAGTCTCCAGTCCTCGCTGGTAAAATCCAGCTTACTCTTGGCTCATTCCTGGTCAGCTTCCCCTTAGAGAGCTCCTTGCTCTCTAAGGGGAAGTGTGGTTCCTAGCAGCGTGTCCTGCAGAATCAAAGCAATTCTATCATGGAATTTGGCCAGTGCACATGGATGTCAAATTGGTGGGGTTCAGCTTCCATAAAACTCCATGAAATTTCCCCCATCTTCCTAAATGGGATGGAAACTGTCTGAGATTAATGAGTGTTAAACCTGGAAGTCTAAAAGTGGCAGATACATCCATCTCTGCAGATGAGTGATCGACAGTGCAAAACAACTATTGGAGCCCAGACTTTTCCCTGTGCATGGGACCAGAAGGAAAAGAACTCACTCCTGTAATATTTTAACCCCCTGTCAGTACTTAACCCAGACATTAAATGAGCAGAGATTATTTTTGTTGCATAAGCTTAGGCCCGAGATGTTTTCATGGCCCCAGTGATGACCCTCCAGCAGCCAGTTCAGTGCGGGCTGCAGAAACTCTGTCCTGTTTAGGGGAAATGCACAAACATGCTGGGGGTTGGGGGACATGCTGGGGCTTCCCCATCTTCAGCCATGACTGCTCTGTCCTGGAAGGGCTCCTTTCTCCCATCGCAGGGGAAAGCTGCAGGTGTGGGGAGGGGGAAGCCATGGCAGGTCGGGCAGTGCCTGAAGTGGGAGAGGGAGCCTATTTGCAAATTGATACCTACTTTCCTGTCATTCATCCTCCATGTTCTCAACTCAGTTTCTTTTATATTTTTTCTTTTTCATTCTGCCAGATGCACAGGTGAGTCCAGACAAGGAAAGACAACACCAGGCATCAGTGACAAGAGTAAAGGATGAAGAGGAGAAAGAAGTGTTGTGCCTTCGGGATTCATCAGGAAGGCAGGATGGAAACCAACCACAAGAGATAAAGGATGAACCCAGCCAAGTTCTGTATGAGGTCCTCCTTGTACAAGTAGGAGAGAGTCCTACAAAGATCCCTGAAGGTGATTTGAGAAGCTACACAGAGGAGGAGCCTGGTCAAAGCTCAGCATCTGAGCTAAGCGCCCACCTGAGGAAAAGCTCTGCTGAGTGTTCAGAGGATGGACAGGAAGGAAAAAGGCATGAATGCTTGGATTGTGGAAAAACATTTGGCTGGTATTCAAAGCTTCTGCTCCATAAACGAATTCACTCTAGGGAGAAACCCCACCAGTGTAAGCAATGCGGAAAGGGCTTCAGATGGAGTTCCAATCTTAAAAAACATCAGCGACTTCACTCAGAGAAAAGCTATGAGTGTAAAATTTGTGGAAAAAGCTTTGCTCAGGACTCGGGACTTAAACAACATGAGCAAATCCACTCAGGAGAGAAACCGTATCAGTGCAATGTTTGTGGAAAGAGTTTCAACCGGGCTTCCAATCTTGAACAACATCAAAGAATTCATTCAGGTGAGAAATTGTATGAGTGTAAAGAATGTGGAAAGAGCTTTGTTCAGAGCTCGAGCCTTTCACGTCATCAGCGAATTCACTTGGAGGAGAAGCCCCATAAGTGTGACAAATGCGGGAAGAGCTTCAGTCACAAGTCATACCTGAAAAGACATCAACAAATTCATGACAAGGAGAAACCTCATAAAGGAGAAGAATGTAGAAAGGACTTAAGTCAGAGCTTGGACTTGACTGAAAGTCAGTGAATTCACCGTATGTTGAAGGTATCACAGGGGAGAAAGAGTAGAGAACCAACAATGGCACTGTCTGAAGGACATGTTCGGCTGAGGAATCTGGCTTCCATGAACATGAGCATGCACACAGCAGGGAAACCTCCGGGCTGCCTGGAATGTGGTCCAACTTTCTGTCCTTGCACACACTTCAGTGTAATGTAAGAATGCATTTTTCTCCATTTGGTTCTCACAAGATCTGGAAGTTACCAGCTTGAGCTGTGCTTAAGCAATGCTTTTGTGTCTTGGAAGGAAAGCTTTTTGAGGGGAGATGACTTGCAGAGCTCCCTAAATTGTGTGCCATTGTTTATTAACTGTACTGATTAGAAGTTTTACCAGGATGGTTTTAATTGCTTAATATGTTACTGTTTGCTGAAGATTGCATCAAAGGATAGGCAATAGGAATAGTCTGTGTGCAGAGATACGTGGGGAACTTAATAGAAGTCAAAGAATTCACACAGGGAAGATTCTGTATAAATAATTATTACCCTATGCACCACTATTGTAATCTGAATGATGCATCTACAGGGAAAGATGAAAGAAATACACTGTGGAAGAGTTTGAAGCCTTCATGAACTAGAGAATGCACATGGGAGGGAATTCTCATGAGTCACTGGCAGGCCACAACAGTGAGCCTCTGCACACAGACTGGCCACTGTGTGGATGCTTTGATGAGAAACAGAGTCCCATTACATATTTCAAAGAAAAAGAAGTGATCTGTGATCACGATTTTGGGAGGGCAGATGTGGCGTGTGCATTCTTGCACCAGGCTTTGTGTCCTGTTGTCTCTTTTAAGCAGTTTAGGGGAGTTGATTTTAATACTTGGGGGTCAACCCTTTCCTATATGGTGGATTGATGCGATTACTTGCATGTTTTACCTGGATGCTTTTATTATCTTTATTGTACTTTTTATTACCTTCATTGTGGATGGACATTGTCTTTTTAAAAACCTGGTGGGGGGACGTGGGGAGAACCTTTCCTGTCTGCCAAGGCCCCCCTTTATTCTCTTGATATAGGGCAGCCCCAGAGCAGCAGCCCCATCAGGAACTGCTGGGCTTGTGGTGAGGGGTCTTCAGAACATTAGGTGAGTTGCAGAAATTGGACAAGAAACTAGAGGATCTTGTACCACCCAGATGACAAAGAAGCAAAAATTTCCAGGGTCTGTTCTCCTGGATAGATTGTAAAAGCATAATTGGTGAAGTTCCTGTTGCTGCTTTTTTGATGGCTCCTGTAACTGTCAGCGCATTTATTGACTAATAAAACCATGTGTGTTTCTGTTTTATTTTCTGCATTGTATCTGCTCAGAACAAGATGCATCACAGGTGGGAAACTGAGGCTGTAGCATCCTTTTCCAACCAGGCATCCGTCAGAGGTATTTGGACCACAACTCCCAGAATTCCCATCCAGCAGGGCCATCACCTGGGAATGTTGGGTGTTGCAGTCCAAACTCATCTAGAAGGCACAAGGGGGGGGGGAGGCTGGGCTGGAGGCTTCCAGAGGTTTGCCAGGCCCTTTGGCACATGGCACAGGGTGGGAGCGGATTCTGGGACTGGAGCGCCAGTCTTGTCGAAGGATCCTCCCTGTGTGGAGCGAGGCCATCGCCTGGCCATGCCACGCCAGGAGTGCAAGGGAGGCCGACCGGCCCTCTCCCCACCAGGAGCCTCTCCTGCTTTCCTGCACAGGAATATTCTTAAGCCTTCCTGCCTCCCATGTCTGCACCCCAGGCTATGTGGGGCTGCCTGTAAGCAGAGGCTGGCCGTACACACACAAAAGACAAAACACCCAAAGGGTTCTTGCCGCTCAGCGGATGCACCATGCAGGGATCTGTGCATCCAGATCATCTGACCATGTCTGTTTTTCTCCAGGTAATGTTGTGGTCCAGCTTTGTCCATCAGTTCTCCCTCCCTTTCCGTTATCCCTCTCATTTGCATGCCTTCATCTCCTGCATCTTTCTGCTCATTCTCCCCCTCAGGATTTCCCTTTCTGATCATGTTTTCCTTTCTCCCCAACTGCTTGCCCTCCATTTTCTAGCTAACCATTTGACTTCTACACTTTTCCTATTTAGACTAAATCTCTTGCCTCCTCTCCTCCGTCTGTCACCCATTCACACACACGCTGACCTGAATGCTGAACTGGGGGAGAGCTTCCTTCCTTCGCAGGTGCAGCTTGGAAGAGCTCTGCTGGGAGCAGCGTGGCAAAGTGGGGGGCCTGCCAGGAACGGGACCGTCACTCAGCTTTTCTCTCCCCACTCAACAAACCTCCTCCAAGGCTCCTCCCTGCACCTTAGGCCAAAATGCGGCCGGGGCAGGGTGTCCAGGGGCGGCTGCTGTCCTTGTTTCTCAGGACTCCTCCACCAGGCCCGCATTTATGAAAACTACAAGTCTGTGTGTCTTGTCAGCACTTTAAAGGGGAGAAGGGGCTATGAGACAGGGGGTGGGTAGCCCAACAAGCAAAGGGATTGGAAACCTTTCAAGAGGACAGTGGAAACATACGCCGGAAACAATTGGTAATCGCAAAAGCGGTTTATAGCTGGACAGATTCAACCCACAAACACATGCCCACAACCACTGGGGCAATGGGGGGAATTTGAATGCCCTATTTGAATGCCCCCAGGCAGCCTATCTGCATGGTATCCCCCCACTATCAAGGTTTCTTCCCAGGAGTATCCTTCAAGGACACCAAGGAAACATCCATGACCCTCCAACATTGTATAATCAAAGCAACAGCCCTGTAAGGTAGAGCAGGTAAAGCCCCACCAAGAGCTTCATGGTCAGGAGTGCATTTGAACTCAGCCTCCCCAGTTCTCGTCCAGCTCTTACTTCACGGGACGCTCAAGGCATGGAAGCTGCAGCACTTTGGAGAGGCAAACGCCAAGCCACAATACGAAATGGGGTGCCGTGCTCTGCATCGTCGCGGCATTTCCAGTCCCACTTTCCACACCAAGCATGGCCTCTGAACTCAAGACCCAGTAGGAGGCCCTGGCCCAGAGCTGCTTCTTGAAGGGGGACCGTGTAGGAAGGCTGGAGGAAACGTAGAAACAGAATGGGTCAGAAGGGGTCTCCTGGGTCATCTAGTCTGACCCCCGGCTCCGCTCATGACATGCCTACCATGTGCATGTCCAGCCTCTCCTTGTCCATCACCCTCACCAATGGGGCTTCAGCCAACCCCCCATGGAAGCCCGTTCCATACCCTATGGGTCCTGACTGTCAGGAAGTTCCTCCTGGTGTCCAAATTGAACCTTGGTTCCCTGAGCTTTGCTCTGTTGGAGCATGTCCTGCCTTCCCCTGCAGGGGAGAACAGGTCTCTACCCACCTCCGTGTGACACCCCTTCACAAACCTGTATGTCGCCAACAGATCCCCTTAGAGTCTCCTCTTCTCCAGGCTGAAAAGACCCAGTTCCCTCAGTCCTGCCTCATACGGCTTTCCCTGCAATCGGGCCACCATCCTTGTGGAAAGCCCCAAGGGAAACCTGTCCCGGATTCAGAGCACAACGAGAAAGAGGGTTTGGGCCGTGAGGGCCTTGGGAGGACCCGTGTTCATGGCTGACCAGATACAGAAGGGCAGGTGAAGCCTGGGCAGCAAAATGACTGCAGCAAGACTGAAGGGGGAGCCTTCCTTGTTCTAGTCTAGTCGTAGTTGACTTTGGAAGCTCAAATGTTGGCAGTGGCAAGGAGCGCTTTCCATCAGCTTCAGCTAATCCTTCAGCTGCGTCCCTACCTGGAGGACGACTGCCTAGCGACAGTGATGCATGCATTGGTTACTTCCCAGTTAGACTTCTGCAACGTGCTCTATGTGGGGCTGCCCTTAAAGACGGTCTGGATACTTCAGATGGTGCAAAATAGAGCTGCCAGGTTGCTGACGGGGACTGGGCATTGTTCTCATATAACCCCAGTCCTTCGTCAGCTTCACTGGCTCCCCATTGAAGTCCGGGCCCAATTCAAGGTGCTGGTGATTACCTATAAAGCCCTAAATGGCTTGGTACCTGGGTATCTAAAGGAGCTCCTGCGTCCATACTTGCTCTCCCATCCTCTAAGATCAGTGGCAGAGGCCCTTCTCCGGGAACCCTCCGTGAAAGATATTAGGAGACGGAGTACCCGGAGGAGGGCCTTCTCTATGGTGGCGCCCAACTTATGGAATGCACTCCCCAGAGAGGTCCACCTGGCGCTGTCGTTATTTGTTTTTTGGTGCCAGGCCAAGACCTTTTTATTTAAATGTTATTTTAATTAACTGTTAATTTATTTATTGGTTTTATTGATTGACAGATGTGTCCAGTTTTTATATTTTTGTATTGTTATTTATTTGTTGGAAGCCACCCCGAGGCTTATGCGAATGGGGCAGCATACAAGAACCCCAAATAAATAAATAAATAGTCATGCATCTCCCTCACTGTCAGCCTCTTGCTGTGGACTACACTTCCCAGTATGCCTTGCGGGTCCCACCCAAATGGGCCACAGCTGGGCCTGCTTCACCCAGTCAAAGCCCAGCTGGGAGGCAGAAGGAGGGAAGAGCAAACCGCCCTTCCTCAGACCTGCCCTGGCCTCTCGCGGGCCTTGAGGAGACCCGGCTCTGCACTCCTGCGACAGGAATGCCCCCTCGACCTGCTCCCAGCTTGGGGGCTGCTGGCCCGAGTCTCCCTGCTCCACGCAGTGGCTGCTCCTTGGCAACTGAGCCCAGGAGCACCTTGGCGTTGTTGGGGAACCGGGTGAGTCTTGTCCCTCCAGAGCAAGAGGGGAGGGCTAGACAGGGCAGATGCTGGATGTGAGCGAAAGAGAGGGGCAGGAAGGGAAAGGACAGGAAGGCTTGGAGGGGAAATGCCCCCCAAACAACCCGGTGGGGCAAGCAAGCAAGGAGAGCAAGCGCAATGCTCTCCCCATTCCCTCTCAGGGGCGTGGGGTGGACTTCAGATTCAGTGGGTAGGAGGCTGCATGGTTCTAGTTCCTCTCTCTTAGAAAAGGGCTGCTGCTCATACTGGGCTTTGCTTGTTTTAACTGCAGAAGACGTTCTTCCGCCCGCAGACTGTCTTCTGTGACCAGATAGCCTGGACTTGAACTCAGCAGCCCTTGCAATGGCCGAACTCTGAATTTCAAGGACTCTGGGTGGCTTGACCCAGCAGCAAGTGAAAGTAGGACCAGGCATGCACCCCTGAGCTAGAGGTGACAGGCACCTGTGGGAACCTCAGGCTTTTCCACTCATTTCAATGCCATGCACACTGAAAACTAATTGCTTAGAATATAAGAGGCCATGCCCAGCCTTTCACTTTCTGTCAGCTCCACTTAGTGGCCTGAGTCCACTGCTGACTGATCTTGCATGCAAATAATCAATTCAGATCTCACGTGAGAATTGCTTCTCTTTCTCTGAGAACTGAGAGCCTCTGGGAAAAAGACCAAGGCCATTTTTTGCCACAGCTTGGAGTGTCAATTGGGCATGGCAGGAGGAGCAAGGAGACCTGGCATGATTTCTGTGGCCTCTTCCTTCCCCTCATGCCCACGTCAGCTGACCCACAGAGCGCTCTCCCCGCCTGGTTGGTCTCTACATGCAGCGGCCTAAAGTGAGGGGAAAATGGGGACAACCAGTCAGGAAACCAGACGGACTCTGCGGGCCTGCTCAGGGTAGACCTCCTCAGGTCTCCCGCTGTCACTGGAGCTCCACTCTCGTACTCACTGCCCACTATACTTGCAGAATGGGGCTTGTAGTCCCAAACCGCCTGGGCAGCACTGCTTTCATGATTCCTGCTCTAGAAATTTGAAAGTCATTCTCACAAGGAGCAACGTGTTGAAATAGTCCACACAGCCAGGAAGCCTTCATTCTTAACCTGAATTTTCACAAGAATGGTTTTGTGGTTTTTAGGTGGGGTTGGGATGTGGATGGAAGCCCACAGGCTTCAGGCCATACTGACCCTGTTTGGATGAGAGGTGGGGACTCCCTGCTCCCTGGCTTCTCTTTGTGCCCAAACTGATCTCCCCAGGCAGGGAATATCCATTCTCTGGGCAGCCCAAACCCTCCCCAGGCTGCATGTGGCCCTTACAAGGCACCTTTGCTACCCAAATGTGCATCCAAAGTGAGAGGCCAAATCTTGTCTTCTTCCAGCTGCACATACGTACCTTGAGCAGGGCAACGAAGCCTGGATTGGACCAAGCATGGATTAGCATAACATGTGAACCATGCCATGTTTTTATCCCGGTGCTAAGCCCTCGAAGCTCACCGTTGGCTTCTCCATGCTATGCAAGATCCACTGCACTGGCAATCAGACAGTAGCCTAACATGGGCAGACCTCCGGGAGCAAAGTTGCCTAGCTAAACCGGGGCTGAAGACTGGAAAAATACATGCTCAACAGAACCGGTTTTCTGCTTTGGGGAAGTCTCCTGTGCGATAGACCAAATATCCCTCTATAAGTACCTCAAGGGCTGTCACATGGAGGAAGGTCAAGATCTCTTCTTGCTGATGCCAGAATGTGGGACACGGAATAATCCATTCAAGCTCTGACAACCCAGATTCAGGCTGGACATCAGGAAAAGCTTCCTCACTGTCAGAGCTATACGGCAGTGGAACCAGCTGCCTAGAGAGGTGGTGGGCTTCCCCACACTAGAGACGTTCAAGGGGAAACTGGGCAGCCATCTGAGTAGGATGGTGCAACTTGGAGTCCTGCAACAGCAGGGGGTTGGACTTGATGGCCTTCACGGCCCCTTTCAACTCTGCTATTCTGTGATTCTATGAAATGATTTCAGGGTTTGAGGCAGGCAACATTGAAACAAGGAGGGCTGCAACTTGTTGCCCATTAAAGAAGGCAGGCAGGGAGGAAGGAGAGACCCAGCTCTTGGATGGGATAGACATGAAATGAAATGAAATGAAATGAAATAAATAACAACCTATTTGCAAACTGATACCCATTAACATTGACCTACCAAATTCTCAGCTCTCTTCTATCTTTTCTTCTACCTCCCATCAGATGCATGAGTGAGGCAGGACATGGAAAAACAACAGCAGACATCTGTGAAAAGAGTGAGGGACAGAGAGGTGAAAGAGGTGGTGTGCCTTCAGGAGTCATCAGGAAGGCAGGATGAAAACCAAAAACAAGAGGAAAAAGATGAACCCATTCCCATTCTGCATCAGGTTCTCCTTGAACAAGGACAAGGAGGAGGAGAGAGTCACAGGAAGGTCCTTGAACGTGATTTGAGAAGATACATTGAAGAGGGGCCAGATCTGAGCAAAGCACCCACCTGAGGAAAAGCTCTGCTGATTGTCCAGAGGGTGGCTGGAGAGGGAAAAGGTACAAATACTTGCAGTGTGGAAAGAGGTTCGGGTGAGATTCACAGCTTATATACCATCAACCAAGTCACTCAGGGAAGAAACCCTATAAGTGTAATGAATGTGGAAAAAACTTTAGTCAAAACTCAGGCATTAGAAAACATCTGCAAATTCACTCAGGGGAGAAACCCTATCAGTGTCAAGTATGTGGAAGGAAATTCAGACAAAGTTCCCATCTAACACTACATCGAACCATTCACTCAGGGGAGAAACCCTTTGAGTGACAAGACTATGGACAAAGCTTCACTCAAGAGTTCAAGCCTCACACAACATGAGCAAATGCACTCAGGAGAGAAACCCTATCAATTCGAAATTTGTGGAAAGAGTTTCAGACAGTGTTTCCATCTTAAACAACATCAGCACATGCAGTCAGGGGAGAAATGCTATCAGCGTGAAGTTTGTGGAAAGTGCTTCCGTTGGAGTTCTCATCTCAAACAACATCAGCAGCTGCACTTGGGTGAGAACTCATATAAATGTAGTGAATCATTGTAACAATGTTAAATGTCCCACAGTGAGAACCCCTATACACGCCAAGAATGTAAGATTGTTTCTGTCCAAGATCAAAAACACATGTGACTGGATTCACCCAGGAAAGAAAACTTCAAAGTGCAATGAATGTGGAAAGTGGTAGATCTGGTCTCTGAACTTGCTCGGGATGAACAAATTCACTCAGGAGAAACACCTTGTCAATCCTCTGTGGCCAGAAAAGTATCTAATTAGACCAGGCATCCCTGATTGTTCAAATGCAGTCCAATGAGTTCAAGAAAGACAGAATTTGGCCTGAATTCATTGTTGATACACTTGTGCACTGCATACATTTGCCAGACTGAATGAGCAAAAGAGGGCTGTCAATGGGCGAGTCCAGGAGAAGCATTGTGTTCACACGGGTCTCTCCTTAGGACGAACAAGACCAGAGGAAGACATGGTGGAGAAGCACAAATTTTGTGATGCATGGGTCACTCTTGGTTCAAACTCTTCCATAAACAGCCAAGCACTTCCCACACTGCAGTGCTTTACATGTATCTGGAAGAGGGCCAGCAAAATCGTGATGAAAGTGAAAGCTGCTGCTCTACCTATTTCAACGACACCTGCAGGGTTCATTCATATTCTACAACTGCTGCAGAGAGTAGACTGGGGTACATATTGTAGTGGTTAAGAGGGTGGGCCTGGGACTGGGTGATTTGGGTTCAAGTCACTATGTGGCCATGAAGTTGCAAGCCACCTTGGGTTCCTTGCAAGAGCAAAAAAGGCATGTTGGTGCAATGTAGTAGTAGTAGTAGTAGTAATACACCAATGTTTTACAGGTGCATCAGAGAAGAAAATATAAGTAGAGCATCCATGGCAAAGCACTTCCTGGCACACAGATCAAGAACACCAGGACACATCCACCAACCACAGGCCTGTGATGAATATCTCAGCAACAGGTTTGTTGCTTTTAATGCTGAGTTGATCCTGCTGTTCTTGTTTATATCCTGCCTATTCCCAGTGATTGGGACTCAGGGCAGCTCCCAACATTACATTCACAGAAATAGATACAAGTTAAATGTATAATTAAATCAATAGAGAATTGAAATTATACTAATCCTCCAAATTAAAAGCACTAAAAAGAATGAGGTAGAACTGATCCAGTGTAAACCCACATGGTCAGATCATTTTGAAATGCCTGCCAGAACAAAAAAATAATTGCCTGCCTTCAGAAACATAACAGGGAGGGAAGGTGCCAATGTAACAGGGAGGGAAGGTGCCAATGTAGCTTGCTTGGGAAGGGAATTCCAGAGCACTGGGATAGCCACCAAGAAGGCCCTCTCCCATGTTTCCACCAAGCATGCTTGTGAGGGTGGTGGGACCTCATCACAGTTCACTGTTCCCAGAATGGAATCAATGTGGAGGTAGCTTTCACTTGCAGAGTAAAAGCGCTTTGCTGTGTGATGGCCACACTGGTGATCTTTGACCCATTCACTCCCACACGAACTGCTACACTTATAGTAGGCCTGACGGAAAAGAGGAACTTGCTGTTAGGCACAAGTGTCCACTTCATTTGCTGTCTGGCCCTGAGCTGGGCAACCCCAACAGAGTTGTTTTATAAAAAGAAATACTTGCAGTACACACCAGCAATACAGAGTGAGCCCATCTGGTGGGGACTGGCTCCCCTTTCAGCCGTCCAGCCCACCTAATATATTTGTTGAGCTTTTGTAATTATTGATTCTAATGGCAGAAAGTGAAGAGGAACTAAGGAGCCTCTTGATGCGGGTGAAGGAGGAGAGCACAAAAGTTGGCTTGAAACTCAACATTAAGAAAATGGGTGAGGGGGCCTCAGCAATGGCCCCACTCTGCTTCTAAACCTTGGTTTGATTGGAATGTGTTCAAGCAAAAAGAGCCTTACAGAATGCCTATCAAATTCATAAAGTCTTGATTAGAAGATGGACCAAGATCTTCTTGAACAGAAAAAATCCTTTAAACGGCTAGTTCTAACTTAATTCGCTTCGGGAGCCTGTTTGAACTCTGAATCGTTTGAAGTCCGAATCAATTTTCCTCATTAGAAATAATGGAAAGTGAATTGAACTGTTCCCAGACTCTAAACAATACCCATTTCAACAAACTTCCCCTCAGCTCTGCTTGCTTTGCAAATACATCCTCCTGGAGTGATTTCAGTTCGAGGTTTTATACAAGGTGTGATTTTAAAAAATGGTGAATGTTTAATTTAAAAAAAAATGACTTCTTGTCCTGAATCGATTTGTCATGTCTTGAAGTGATTCGTTTTCTCTTATGTCAATTGGTCTTGAATTGATTCAGGATGTTGAGACAGCCACGAGAGCGCAACCAAAGACACTCACGAAAGAGGACTTCCAGAACTGTTTCAGAAAGTGGCAAGAATGGTGGGGTAAGTGAGCTCGAAGCAACGGGGAGTATTTCAAGGGGGAGTAATGGCAATGTGCCTGTTAATGTAATGATTTTTTTTCAACTTGTGAGCATAACCAATGACTTTTCTCTCCAGTCGTATTTTTTCCACTTCGCTCCTGGTTTGAACTTAGAAAAGCAGGTTGCTTACCTGTAACTGTTCTTCAAGTGGCCATCTGTGCAGTCACACATATGGGTTCTGCACTTGCGCAGTGCCTTTGGCCGGAAGATTGATAGCTAACGGTTTTTGGCGGGAAGCTCCGCTCCCCTCCCCCATGGCCTATAAAGAGCGGAGCGTCCGCCATTTGTTCAGTCTTCGACGACCGAATGTGCGCCCCCTTGTGGAAAAATTTCCAAACGTGCGCCCCCTTGTGGAAAAATTTTCAGTATGAGATAGGAAAAAAGGGATCAGTACCAAGAAAAAATGGGAAACTTTCAGTACCGATGAATGTGTCCACTCACCAACACCGAGCGGGGCCGGCGGGTGGGTTGTGTGACTGCACAGATGGCCACTCGAAGAACATCAGTTACAGGTAAGCAACCTGCTTTTCTTCGTTGTGATCTCTGTGCATCACACATATGGGTAGATTAACAAGCTTACCATCAAAGGAGGAGGGAAGGTGTCCTCATTGTAGGACGGAGGAGAGAACAGCTCTACCGAAGGAGCAGTCCTGTCGAGCCCGAACATCGAGATGGTAATGCTTGGCAAAAGTGCAGGGATTCACCCAAGTAGCAACTCGGCAGACGTCATCAATTGGAACTCCGGATGCGAATACAGAAGACGTAGTGACAGCTCTAGTAGAATGGCCTCGGGGAACTGTAGGCAGTTCGAGCTTAGCTAACTGATAACACAAGATAATAGTGTGGACTATCCACTTAGAAAGCCTTTGTGGAGTGACTGGGTCGCCCTGATCTCTAGCCGAATATTTGATGAACAGTTGATTGGATCGCCGAATAGACTCCGTTCGCGATCGATAAAAGGCTAAACAACGCCGAACGTCAAGGGAGTGCAAGGATCTTTCCAAGGGATTCGATGGCGATGGAAAAAAGGCAGGCAGTACAATGTCTTGTCCTGTATGGAAAGGTGTAGAGACTTTGGGCAAGAAAGATGGGTCAAGACGTAAAACGACCTTTTCCCTGTGGAAGTTTAGATAAGGAGGGTCGATGCGGAGGGCACAAAGTTCACTGGCCCTCCAGGCTGACGTGACAGCTACAAGGAACGCCGTCTTCCACGAAAATGATCGGAGATCCACAGTCGCCAAAGGTTCAAAGGGGGCCTTCATAAGGGCCTGCAGAACTACAGAAAGGCTCCACGTGGGCATAACCGGTCTAATCGATGGATTAAGATTATACAGTCCTTTCAAAAATCTCTTGAGGATAGGATGAGAAAATAGGGGTGATCCGTCGACTAAGCCACGGTAGTAGGCTATTGCGGCCGTATACACTTTAATAGAAAACGGCTTCAGTCCAGAGTGATGCAACTCCAGAAGGAACTGAAGAATTTGTTCGATTGATGAGATAAGTGGGGAGAATGAATGAGACTCGGCGAAGGTGGAAAAACATTTCCATTTAGCCGTATATGACTTCCTTGTGGACGGCTTTAGGGCAGAGTCGATAATATGCTGAATCTCAGGGTGCAAGAGCGTTGGGTTCGAATTCGACGGGGTCTGTCTTGAACCGGTGGTACGGAGAGACTATGGCAGTGAGAGGCACCCGCACGGTTGGATTCGAGAATCGGAACCGAAGCGGTCAAAGTAATCGTCGATACCGATGGATTAATAGAAGCTACCGGATTCGAGGCTCTCGAATCCGTCGTCAGTCCCAATGGAAGGTCAATCATCGAATCCACCACACTGTCAGGTTCAATGAGAGCAAGTCCGGGTGACGAAGTGTGCCGTCCATTTGCGTTATAAGGTATGGAAGCGCTGAAAGATGAAGAAACTCCCCGCGGGAGATGTCGAGCAGTTTCGCAAACCACGCTTGGCATGGCCACCAAGGGGCAACTTGTATCCCCAATGCACGGTCGCTCACTATCTTTGCTACAACCTTCATCAAAAGAGGGATCGGAGGAAAAGCAAAGAAGTTGATGTTGCCCCAAGGGATCATGAATGCGTCCCCTAGGGATGCTTGTCCAATTCCTGCTCTGGAACAGTAAGTCTCGCATACCCTGTTCTGTTGGGTAGCGAATAAGTCCACATCGGGGAACCCCCAGCGCCTGAAAAGGTGGTTGCGCGTGCGAGGGTCCAGTTCCCACTCGTGAGAAGTGAAGATGTGCCTGCTCAGAAGATCCGCATGCACATTGTCTGTGCCAGCCAGATGAACGGCCATCAGAGTGATGTGTCTCTGAATGCACCAGTCCAAAATTCTCATAGAAAGCCTGGCTAAGGTCAGTGACTTCGTCCCTCCCTGCTTGTTCAGATAAAAAACGGTCACTATATTGTCCGAAGTTATCTGAATGATCTGAGGATGAAGGAGGTCTTCGAAAGAACGAAGGGCCTTGAAGACTGCCAGTAGCTCCAGGAAGTTGATATGATTCATGGATTCTAGACGAGTCCGCATATCGCTCCCCATCCTAGAAAAGATGCGTTGGTACCGAGAGTTATCGTAGGAGGTCGCGCCCTGAAGGGGACTCCCATCACTAGATTGGTCGGCTTCAGCCACCAGCACAGGGAGTGGAGCACGCAAGACGGGATCCGAATCAGTTTCGATTGTGGGTCCCTTTGAGGATGATACACCTTGTTGAACAATAGTTGTAATGGGCAAAGCCGAAGTCTGGCATGTGGAACTACGGCAACCGAGGAGGCCATATACCCCAGGACCCCCTGGATGGATCTCACCGTAACTGTTCCCTGTCGACGGATTCGATGGATATGGTGAGCGAGGGTCTGCTGTCTGTCCCGAGGAAGAAAGGCTTTCTCCAATGTCGAATCCAAGTGGGCTCCAATAAAGGTGAGCGTCTATGTCGGGAGAAGAGAAGATTTCTCTGTATTAATACGCAGGCCCAGACTATCTAGTAAGGTACATGTTGAATGGATGGCATCCAAGAGTCCTTCTCTGGACTGCGAGACCAACAGCCAGTCATCGAAGTATGGGTAAATTTGTATGCCCTGAAGGCGTAGGAAGGCACAGACAGGAGCCACGCATTTGGTAAAAACTCTCGGAGCCGTAGCCAATCTGAAGGGTAAAACTTTGAACTCATAAAGTTGGTTTGCAACAGCAAAACGAAGGAAACGCCTGTAAGTTGGATGAATTGAAATATGAAAGTAGGCGTCCTTCAGGTCCAGTGAGGCGAACCAATCCCCTCTCCTTAACAACGGCAAAATGTTTTGAAGGGTGGTCATACGAAACTTTCTCGGTATAATAAACTTATTCAAGTCCCGTAAATCCAAAATCGGACGTAGACCACCGTCCCGCTTGGGGACCGTAAAGTATCCGGAATAGAATCCGTGGAGTCCGTCAGATGGGAATACTTGGCGAATTGCTCCTTTTCGGAGAAGTTGGTGTATTTCGTTGAGAAGTACCGGCGAACATGAAGTAGACCGGATCGGACTCGATGGAGGAACGATGTCGAATTCTATTCGATAGCTGTGTTGAACGATGGATAATACCCACCGGTCAGATGTGATGGACTCCCAAATGGGAAGTCGGCTCCGGAGCCGATCCCCAGATGAGAGAGGGGTGGGTATTTGAGGAGTATGAGGAGTGGTTCGCCAATCCCGTCAGCGCTGCCTCCGATCGTCGAATCAGCGACGGCCCTGCTGGTATCTTTGTTGAGGTTGCTGACGGCAGCGTTGTTGTTGCTGTTGCTGCCTATATTGAGGCTGTTGCCTGGGGTAATATTGCTGCCTGTAGGGCGGACGGTTCCATGGCCACTTACGTTTGGGCAGCGACTGAAGCTCCATTCGTCAGGCCGTCATCCGAGTCTCATGGAGTTTCTTGAGCTTGTGGTCTGTCTTAGCATGGAATAGCCCAGCCCCATCGAAGGGCATTTCTTCGATGTGCCGTTTGGCCTCTTCAGGGAAATTGGCGCTCCGTAGCCACGCATGTCTCCGAAGAGAGACAGCACCAACCAGTGCCCTCTAATTGGTGTCCACATGGTGCCTGGCTGTGGACAATTGTTGCATCGCCACGTGAATCGCCTCTTTGATGAGGACCTTGGCCAATTCGCCCTGTTGATCCGGGAGGGCCGAGACGACGTTGTTGAGACGCTGCATTATGAAATACTGGTATCTCGCCAACGTTGCCTCGTAATTAGAGATACGCAATCCCAAGCCTGAGGCTGCGTAAACCCTCCTGGCCAGTGAATCTATCTTGCAGCCCTCCTTGTCTCTCGGCGCGGTATGACCCCTTGCCTCTCTTCCCTGGGAGGACTCCACCACGACCGAGTTCGGCTTGGGGTGTCGGAGGAGGAATGGAATGTCCTCCTCCTGAACCCGGTACATGGCTTCGTACCTCCGGGATGTAGGTTGAGGATGGGATGGCAAGTCCCAGGGTTGGGTCATTGCCTGCCGCAAAGTGGTAATCAGTGGCAGGACGATGGAGGTGGACTGCTCCCCGCGGACGACGTCGTATATTTTGTCCGTAGACAGCCCTGGCCGTTGGACGGCATCGATGTCCAAAGATTGGACGAGCCTGCCCATCAGCTCCGCAAAGGACACATGTGACTCGTCCGGTGATGCGGGGCCCTGGAAGGTAACCGCAGCATCAGGAGAGGTCGAATCCAAATCGGAGTCGTCGGAATCCACGCCGTAATAAGGAGGAGCCGAAGAGGAAGACTCCGCTGGCGAGACAGAGCAGCTGCTATCATCCCGTGGTACCGGGGATGAGCGCCTTGGATCCGGATGGGGCGGGCGGTCACGAAGGTGGAATTGTGGTTGATCCCTTGGAGCGGGATAGTATCCGGTCGAGTATGGCTCATCCCAAGGTGGATAGTAGGGACGACACCAGTCCTCGACCCTCTCGGACCACTGCTCCCTAGAATGGCTTCTGCGGGTCCTAGGCAGCGTAGCCGAGGGCATAGGGGTTGGTGACCTAGCCCTGGGGGGAGAGTCCTGGATCTCTCCATCCGAGATCGAGCCCCGTTGGACAGCTGGCAGCGGTTCAACCAGGGGGTCAGCCACATGGCGAGGAGACCCTTGAGGGGTGACCTTCATGTCTGCCTGGAGCGCCGGCTCGGGTGGTGTCGGCACGGTAGGAGGCGCCAGTACCAACGCTGTCGAACCTGAGGTACGGTGTCGGGGTCGATCTGGATCCTTAGCCTTTGGGGTCAACTTAGAAGGCTTCTCCTTCCTGGCCTTTTTGGCAGGTTTTACAGCCTCGGCATGCTTGCGCTTCTCCCTTTTTTTCTTAGGAGAAGCTGGTGGGGCCCTCAAAGCAGAGGTACCTTCATCCGATGGACAGGAGGGCGGTACCACCGCAGCCGGGCAAGGCTTTGCAGCAGTGACCAATGGGTCAGACTGCATGAGAGCCCAATCCCACAGGAGTCTCCGGAGGCGGTTCTCCCGGTTTTTTCTGGCCTGTTTGGAGAAGGCCAGACAGTGGGAGCACCTGTCAGTTCTATGCCCCTCCCCCAAGCAGAGGAGGCATAGATCGTGCGGGTCGGACAGAGACATTTTCGATCCGCACTCCGCACACTTGCAGAAGGCCGCTCGCCATGCCATCGCAGAAATAACAAGAAAAGGAGACAGTGCAGAGGGTAAGAATATATTTTTGGTTTTGGTTTTTTTTAGAAGGAGAGATGGAACACAGAACGATAGAAGAAACTACAAGTAACAAGAGTTTTAGGGATATAAAACTGGGAATGAGAAGAAGACAATAGCTACGAGGAAACGGTCAAGCGAAAGACGAAAGCGGCACGAGGCACAGTGAACAGTGGTCGCAAAGACTGAACAAATGGCAGACGCTCCGCTCTTTATAGGCCATGGGGGAGGGGAGGGGAGCTTCCTGCCAAAAACCGTTAGCTGTCAATCTTCCAGCCAAAGGCACTGCGCAGGCGCAGAACCCATATGTGTGATGCACAGAGGCCACGACGAAGCAGCACTGTTTGAACTGTGGAGTGATTTTATCTCGGAATCTGGATTGTTCGAAGTTAGAGTCATTCAGACCACGAGGCACCACTGTATTATGCGGCCACTTCTACTCTATCTCCTGCCTAAAAAGCCAAATGACCCTGCATGGGTTGGAGAAGGAGAATGCTTGGAGATGCCTTCTTCCCTGCGGCATTGCTCGCTGGACCAAGTTAAGAGCCAGGGGCATCATTCTGTCCACTGCTGGTAGGGAGAAACCCTTGCAGGATCCATGCCTCTGGTACTTGGAGAGACTTCCTCCGTCTTCTTCTTGGCTTGATCTTGCAAAGCAAGCAGAGCTCCGAAGAAGTCTGCACACACTTTGCAAAACAATGGTTGTGTACCTGGCAATCTTATTCCATATCACATGCTGCAGCCCAAATGGCATGAAAGAGGGATGCTGCTAGCAGTCACCTTTGGTCTATGCAGGGGGCAGGGAAGAGGGGCACTGCCTGTGCAACATGAGGGGCTTGATTCCTGGTGAATTCTGCTTGTGCAACATGAAGGACTTGATTCCTGGTGAATTCTGCTTGTGCAACATGAAGGGCTTGATTCCTGGTGAGGGCCCCATGAATTCTGGGTACGCTCACCAGAAACTTGGGCTCAGGGCTGCTGCAAGGCGGAGTGGAATCTGGGGAGCCAAGCTCAAGGAATTGGATGGATTCCCACCCCTACACAGATTCCTCACAGATCCATAACTTTTGGAGGTGGAGAAGCATTGCTGTGATGTGTGAATAATCCTAGATTCATCTCAGACTCATGTATGTGAAATAAGTAAAATACTCCCATTCATTAAGAGAGCATTTTAAGAGTCAGGAAAGTGTGTGATAATTCCACTTGCAATTTGCACAATTTGGATCAATTCTCATCCACGGTTTGAGCATATACTGCCAGCAAATCATAGCTGAATTTTATGCATGGATTAGTAGAAATACATACACATTTTGTGAGAATTAAAATATTTGTGGTACAGTGGTGAGAATGCTAGATTGGGGACCAGATCTGGATTCAAGTTCCCACTCGACCATGAAACTCTATGGGTGACTTTGGACCAGTCACAGACTCTCAGCCAAACCTACCTTGCAGGGTGGTTGTTCTGAGGATAACATGGCACTATGTAAGCTGGCGTACATTCCTCACAAGAGGAATAGAGGCAACATACAAATGCAATGTAATAGTAATAATGTAATAATAATATAGATATCAAAGTTTGGGATGAACCAAATGTATAATGAGAAAAATTGTCAAATTATCCAACCCTAATCAAGAATGAATGAACAAAGTCATGATGCAATAAGTAGGCCCACTGTTGTACAAATCAGGATATAATTAATATATAATTCTGGAAACAGATTAAACAGGAAGAAAAGGAGGCTCATGTTAAAGACAAATACTCACCTCAATATGAACAAAGCGCATGGTAAAGTTAGTCGTGTCTACGGAAATCTCTGCTTGTCCCCAGGCATCGGTTGTATATTCGACCTCCCTCACAAATGGCCCAATGCTCAGTGTGATGTTTGCATTGGCAATGGGCATGTCCGTACCGTCCACCAGCTTGATCTGGATTTGCAAAACCCAGCAAAGAAATCAGGCTGTTTCACTACAAAGGAAATCACTACCCTTTGGTGTGATTTGGTAGCCAGGGGAATGGTGGCAGGTGATAGCTGAAGGGGCAGAGCAGAGGCACCCCAGAGGCTTGGAGGCGTAAGGACACCAGCAGAGGCTGGGATGAAACTCACTGGAGCCTCTCCCTCCAGCATTCTGTGGACTCCGTCTCGTGCTTGCCCTGGTCTTGCATAGCAAAACCAGCTGAGAGGGACTCCGCAAACGCTTATGGAAAGAAGCTTGTGCAATGGCAGCTTTCTTCCATGTCAAGCACAGCAGCACGTAGGCACCGTTCCTGCAATACCCGCACGGCCACTGCCCAAGCGGTGTCCCTCTTCCACGCCACGTGCAGCAATCACTGCACAGTGCCTGGGGCTCAAGTGCAGGTGAGCACCCTGCAAACACTACGCTTGCTTGCCAGGAACTCGGACTCAGGGCCTGCAACAAAGCGGGCCAGTGTCCAGGAAGCTGAGCCCAGGGAGTCTAAGCAATTCCAGCCCCATAGCAGATTCCTCCACTTCTCTAGCTTTGGCCACCCTTGCCAACTATGCCCATTCCTGGAGAGGGGCAGCCCAGCCTCAGTGATCCAGCCACTGGGGACCTCAACATCTGAGCATGAGAACTGCTCCCTGCGGGGCGGCCGTTGGACTGGTTCGGAAGTTGCAGCTGGTGCAAAAGGCAGTGGCCGGGGTGCCCTCTGGGAAACTCAGCAGTGCCATGGACAAATGGTAGCCAAAGCACTGCATGGCCGCCCTGTGGCAAAGAGCCACGCTCCATAAATCACAGGCATCAGAAAACATTCCTTGCCTTGGAGAAGCACTGGTACAGCCAGGTTTTCCCTGGCTTATAACAAAGAGAAATCAACCGTGCCACTCCTATTCTTCTTGTAATTTTTCTGCACTATTATTGCATCCGGCGTTGTTTTGGAGAAAGTACTTTAAATGTGGTTTTGATATTGACAGGGATACCGCTTAGAGGTGGTATTCTATTACGGCATGTTGTTAGATCGCAGCTGGCGTGTTGAACCTTTTTTAGCCTCAGCTATTTGGGAGTTCCTCTTGGGGCCACTTTCCAGGGATGGAGCTGAAAATGAGCTGGTAGAGCCGAAGATCGTAGGTAAAAAAAGGCACTCTCCTTCATTGCATGGGCCCTCCTGGGGCAGCAAATGGCCCCTGCTGCGGTCAAGGAGGGGCAATTTTGGAAGGAGGGGTCCTGGCACTGGAAGGGGGATCATTCATCTTTTTCTCCCTAGCCATGAGAGTGCTCTCTGGAATATGCTGTCCCTTGCCCTGCATTGAGTACCTAAGCAGCTTCCACTGGCAAAAATGAAGGCTTTAAAAAAATCTCCATGCGTGCACATGGTCCTTTGGGGGAAATCTCTCTTCTCCAGTCCATGACTGGAGAGAGGAGATTTGCCACTGGGAATACTTTTGTCCTTGATCTTGGGGAAAGGGGCTGGGGTTTGGGAAAGGCTCATCTGGAAGGGAGGGGGATTTTGGGGGGAGAACTTAAGGGATCAAGGGGGATCCGCTTTGCCCTGCAGACTGGGAATTCCCCTTCCCAGTCACACAGGTGATGTTTCCCGATAATTACACTGCCACAGAATGATAGACTCAAATCTCTTCTTATGCTCCAGCCCTTCAAGGGTAACTCTGGTGAGAGTGGCCGTGATATCGGTGATGCCAGTACCTGTTAATTCCACCCCTGCCAAAAGACATAGCAAGTTGGTCAGCAGAAAAGCACTTCTGTTTCCTTTCCGCCCTCAGGTCTCCTGCAGGGTACTGAGGGGAGTGAGGAGGGCATTCTCCAGGGATGTTGGCTGGTCTCCAAAAAATCAGGAAGAGTAGGGCGGGTGTGGGTAAAGGCTGGGGAATATGGGCAATCCCCCAGCTCTGAGGTGTGAGAAGCGCAAACACTCATCTCAAGGACAGACTTCCAGGTGGATGGGTGGCCTCTGGGAATAACCAAGATGTACAGTTGACAGGCCCCTTCATGGATCACTGCACTGTCGTGGCGAAGGGGCTTCTGTAGCTCAATGAATTTATGAGCTATGCGGTGCAGGGTCACCCAAGATGGACAGGTCATAGCAGAGAGCTCTGACATAACATGATCCACTGGAGAAGGAAATGGCAACCCACTCCACTATCTTTGCCATGAAAACCCCATGGACAGTACCAAAAGGCAAACAGATATGACACCAGAAGATGAGCTCCTCAGGTCAGGAGGTGTCCAATATGCTACTGGGGAAGAGTGGAGGGCTAGTACTTGTAGCACCAGCATGAGTGAAGCAACTGGGTTGAAGCCGAAAGGACACTCAGTTGCAGATGTATCTGGTAGTGAAAGGAAAGTCCGATGCTGTAAAGATCTATACTCCATAGGAACATGGAGTGTAAGATCCATGAATCAAGGCAAGCTGGATGTGGTCAAAAGATATGACAAGACTGAACATCGACATCTTAGGAATCAGTGAACTAAAATGGACAGGAATGGGTGAATTTAATTCAGATGACCATCAGGTAAACTACTGCAGGCAAGAATCCTTCAGAAGAAATGGAGGAGTCTTCATAGTCAAGAAAAGAGTAGGAAAAGCAGTACTGGGATACAATCTCCAAAATGACAGAATGATCTCAGTTTGAATCCAAGGCAAACCATTCATCATCATAGTAGTCCAAGTCTATGCTCCAACCACTGGTGCTGAAGAGGCTGAAGTTGACCAGTTCTATGAAGGCCTACAATACCTTCTAGAATTAACACCAAGAAATGATGTCCTTATCATCATGGGGGATCGGAATGCTAAAGAAGGAAGCCAAAAGATAGCTGGAATAACAGGCAAGTTTGGCCTTGGAGTACAAAATGAAACAGGGCTTCTTGTTGCAAAATTTAGGCTTAAATTGAAGAAAGTAGGAAACACACTAGGCCACTCAGGTATGACCTAAATCATATTTCTAATGAATATTCTGTACATGTGACAAATAGATTTACGGAACTAGATCTGATAGGCAGAGTGCCTGAAGAACTATGGATGGAGGTTCACAACATTGTACAAGAGGTAGCAACTAAAACCATCCCAAAGAAAAAGAAATGCAAGAAAGCAAAATGGCTGTCTGAGAAGCTTTACAAATAGCTGAGGAAAGATGGGAAGTGAAAGGCAAGGGAGAAAAAGAAAGATGTACCCAATTGAATGCAGAATTCCAGAGAATAGCTAGAAGAGATAAGAATACCTTAAATGTACAGTGCAAAGAAACAGAAGGAAACAATAGAAGAGGGAGGACCAGAGATCTCTTCAAGAAAATTGTAGATATGAAGGGAACGTTTCACTGAAAGATGGGCATGATAAAGGACCAAAATGGCAGGGACCTAACAGAGGCAGAAGAGATTAAGAGGTGGCAAGGTTACACAGAAGAACTATACAAGGAAGAGCTTAACGTCCCTGATAAGTACGATGGGGTTATCACTGGCCTCGTGCCAGACATCCTGGAATGTGAAGTCAAATGGGCCTTAGGAAGTCTGAGCAACAACAAAACTAGTGGAGGCGACAGTATTCCAGCTGAGCTATTCAAAATCTTAAAAGACGATGCAATAAAAGTGCTACACTCAATATGCCATCAAACTTTGAAAACTCAACAGTGGCCGCAGGATTGGAAAAGGTCAATTTACATTCCAATCCCAAAGAAGGGCAATGCCAAAGAATGTTCAAACTACCGCGCCACTGCACTCATTTCACATGCTAGCAAAGTTATGCTCAAAATTCTACAAGCTAGGCCCCAGCAGTATATGGACTGAGAACTACCAGAAGTACAGGCAGGGTTTCAGAGCGGCAGAAGAACTAGAGATCAAATTGCCAACATGCACTGGATCATGGAGAAAGCTAGAGTTCCAGAAAAACATCTATTTCTGCTTCATTGACTATGTTAAAGCCTTTGATTGTGTGGATCACAACAAATTGTGGCAATTTCTTAAAGGGATGGGAGTACCAGCCCATCTTATTTGTCTCTTGAGAAACCTATATGCGGGTCAAGAAGCAACAGTGAGAACTGGATACGGAACCACTGATTGGTTCAAACTTGAGAAAGGAGTTCGGCAAGGCTGTATACTATCGCCCTTCCTATTTAACTGATATGCAGAGCACATCATGAGAATGGCGGGGCTAGATAAATCACCAGTTGGAATTAAGACTGCTAGGAGAAATATCAACAACCTCAGATATGCAGATGATACCACTCTAATGGCAGAAAGTGAAGAGGAACTAAAGAGCCTCTTGATGCGGGTGAAGGAGGAAAGTGCAAAAGCTGGCTTGAAACTCAACATTAAGAAAACTAAGATCATGGTACCCGGGCCTCTCGTTTCCTGGCAAATAGATGGGGAAGAAATGGAGGTAGTGACAAATTTTATTTTCCTGGGCTCCAAGATCACTGCAGACGGGGACTGCAGCCAAGAAATTAAAAGATGCTTGCCCTATGGCAAATCTAGACAGCATACAAAAAAGCAGAGACATCCCCCTGGAGGCAAAAGTGCATATAGTCAAAGCTATGGTTTTCCCAGTTGCAATGTATGGTTTTGAAAGTTGGACCATAAGGCTGAGCGCTGAAGAATTGAGGCCTTTGAATTGTGGTGCTGGAGGAGACTCCTGAGAGTCGCCTGGACTGCAAGGAGATCAACCCTGACTGCTCTTTAGAAGACCAGATCCTGAAGATGAAACTCAAATACTTTGGCCACCTAATGAGAAGGAAGGACTCACTGGAGAAGAGCCTAAGGCTGGGAACAATTGACGGCAAAAGAAGAAGGGGACAGCAGAGGATGAGGTGGCCAGATGGAATCACTGAAGCAGTTGGTATGAGATTAAGTGTACTCTGGGGGATGGTGGTGAACAGGAAGGCCTGGAGAAAAGTTGTCCATGGGCTTACAATGGGTCAGACACGACTTTGCAACCAGCAACAACACAGTTGACAGGAGGGAACTTTAGCAGGGAGTTACTCAGACCCAGGCAAGGTATCCCCAGCTCTTGACCCCATTACACAGCCCCAGCAGAGGAGGGTAGCCTTATTAGAGGACTGGCACATGGAGAGGAGGCATGCTAACTTTCAGAAGGCCCCTCCCAAAGGGATGGGGCACAGGCATTCTGGTAAGGGGAGTTATCAGAAGGGAATACTAGCCTGGGTTCAGTGCACCGCTCTGTGAGTGCGCCAAGATTTATTCTGCGTGTTTCGGCATCTGGAAAACGCTTTGACCCATAAAGGACATTTTGCAAGTATTTCAATGTATTTTATTGTGTTGTAAGCCGCCCCGAGGCTTCGGCAAGGGGCGGCATAGAAATGTTATTATAATAATAATAATAAAAGTACAAGGTCTGTGGCTTTTGAATGCATGAAGGAGTTACCCCCTCTCTTGACTGATGCCATGCATGTATTCTTACCAGACTCCAATTCATAAGAAGCTGCCTCATGCCAGACGGGACAATTTCTCCTTCTTTAGACTGGGGTGTTTACTTCATTCAGCATAAGCGAAACATTACATTTTGGAGAAGCTCCATGGGGTGCATGGCAGGGATGGGAAAGTCCAAAGACAAAAGGGTTCGGCCAACATACCCAAACCTCACTGTATTTTTGATTAAACTTTTCCTACTCATAACTACAAGTAAGTCTGAGAAGAAGCCTCCCAGCCTTTTAGAATGGGGAGAACAGGAAAAAGCGAGGACACCTCTGCACAAGGATGGTCAGGGGAAAAGAGAAGGCATCTGAGGGAAAGGATGGGGCTGGGGGGATGGATTTGCCCCACTGGCCTGAGGTTCTGCACCTCTGACCTAGCGAGAGATGTGGAGGGATCCATTTTGGGGGTGGGAATCCACTGCTTTCCCTGGGTTCAGCCCCCTGGACTCAGTTCCACTTGTTGCAGCCCCGAGTCCTGTTTCTGGCAAACATGTCGAGCAGCAAGCCAGGGATTGAACTCCACGTGCTGCACCCAACGCAGCCTTTATTCTGCGAGCTTTTGTGAACTCTCTTTCACTTTCCAAGTGAGCACAAGAGGAGGGACAGATTCCGTGGAGTTTTGTCCTGACACTAGTCCTAGCCCTGCGATCTCCCACAAAGAGGAAACCAATTTCCCATTGCTCACCCCCAAATCTCTTTAATGAGAGAACCCGGGGCCTTCTGTAGGCAAAGCAAGTTCTCTGCAAGCTAGTAGGCCTTTCTTGACCATTCTGTCAGAAGCATACCTGTGCCTTCCTCCGTGATCTTGCCTTCCACGTGGATTCTCTCCTCATACCCCCTCTGCCTCCGGTGAAAGGCCCTTGTCTTCACCGCCTGGGAGATACAGCCGTTCCCATCAGCCTGCAGAAGAATAGGAAGCTGCTGTGGCAATGGTGGTCTTGTTGTCCAAGTCACAGAACCAGGATTCCACCCTCCAGCTACACCTTCTCTGACACAAGGACATCTAATGAAAGAGGGTCTGCCTTCTTCTGAACCAATCTGTGCCTATGCCAAGACTGGTGGTAGAGCTTTCTTAACATTTAGTTCAGGTCCTAAATGTTGGAGAAGGAGAAAACAAAACATTTCAATCTTCTGTGGAACTGAAAACAGATATTTTATTGCTCCAAAAGGTTTCTTCTCATGGCTTTTCCTTCAATGGCTCCTCCTAGGAATTAGTCTCAGGGCTAGCATCAAGGAAGAGCTGCTCCTCTGCCTCTCCATAGCAGCTTGATATTTCCCCACCTCATTTGCTTTGATGCAGACAACAGCGGTGGTGAGATGGTTGAGTGGTAGATGAGATGGCCTCCGTGCTCCCTGGATCTCTGCTCATCAAGGAGGAAAATAGTTAGAACAGGAGGAGAAAGAGCACTGAGAAGGCAGTCTCAATGTGAGAGAAGGGCCATTGAAGCTAGGGATGCATGACGAATCTGCTTCGGATGTGGAAGTCTGCTGGATTCCCATGGGCTCAGGGCCCCAGACTCTGGTCCACTTTGTTGCCACTGTGAGTCAGAGATGCCAGAGAGGCCACCCAGCATTTGAGCGCCGAGTGCCTTTTCAGAAATTCCAGAGGAAGAGGAACAAAGGCAAAAGGAACAGGCTAAAATCCAAACCTACATACTCAATCATGAACATCCCACCTTTTAATTAGAGGAAGAACCTGCCCAGCAGCCCAGAAACTGTCAACGCCCGGGGCATGGAAGTCGGAGACGGAGACCTCAAGCTGCCCCAGATCTTGGCAGAAACTAACCAATGATTGGTGGCAGGGATGAAGGGGCCATGGGGAGGGTGTGCAATCGACTGGATATGGGCTTGGGCTCCCCTAGACCTGCTATCGAGCTTCAGTCTCACATCTGGGACTTACCTTTCCACTGAATTCTTCGCACACTGCCTCTGACTCTTTTCCATAGCCATGGGCCCTGGAATTATCATATCGACGACAAACTTGAACATGGATCAGGCCAGGGATGGCCTTCCCATAGGTGTACCTGCAGCCGGGGGACATGCCATTGAGCGAAAGAGGGGATGGCGACAGAGGAAAGAACGCAGCTGGTTTTGGTGTGGTCGCAAATGTTTTCACAGTTGTTTGCTGTCCAGAGCATGGGAAGTAGGTTTTGGGAGTGCTCTTTGACCCAGAGCTGTGGTTAAGCTCATTCCATCACACTTCTGCATCAGCTGGCAATTTATTATCTAATTAAAACAATCAGTTAATGCAACACATGTAATGCACATTTTTCCTAATGGGTGCAGTCCTTGCATGCTTTTTAATGCAACATGTGCACATTTTTCAGGTGCTTTATACTGCAGGAATGCAATTGGTGTGAACTTTCCCCCAATAGATGCAATTGGTTTGCAGCATTTGGGCTGCTCATTTTTCCTGCACCGAGCTGTAAAACTGAAGCTTTCCATATGCAACTCCTATTTAGCTTGATTTTTGGATTGTATTTCCATCCCACCTTTTTTCCTCTCTTGTGAAGAACCAAACAGCTAACAAATCTGTTTTCTCCTCACCACAACAACCCTGCGAGGTAGGCTAGGCTGAGAGGGTGTGACTGGCCTGGAGTCACCAGTTAGCTTCAGGGTCAGTGGGGGCTAGAACCTCGATCTCCTGGGTCCCCAGCCCAGTGCTCTAACCACCACGCCACACTGGCGAAATTTCCCAGTAGCTTTACTGTTGGGAACGAGGAGAGAAGCTTCTGGGATGTTGTGCCCAAAAACTTGCCTGGCCTTGGAAATGCTGCTTCTTGGCTTGGCAGCAGGAGCCATTTGCTGCTTCAACCCAGACAGGAAAACAGATCCGTGTGCAGTCCGCCCTGCAAAGCGAACCAAGAGCTTTGTAGCAGCTCAAAGGCAAATAAATTTATGGCCTGACTATTATTGATGATTAAAAAGAGAGCATCTTCCAAAACATTTCTTCCTTATGTTTACATCCTACCATTTATCCTGCAAGGAGCCCAAGGCAGTTTACATAATCCTGCTCACCTCTGTTTTGACCTCACAACAACCCTGTGAGGAAGGTCAGGCTGAGAATCAGTGACAGGCCAAAAGTCACCCACAGAGCTGCATGGTACAGCAAGAACTGAAATCCGGGTCTCCTGAGTCCCAGGCAAACACACTAACCACTAGGCCATGCTGCTGCTCTTAAGCGACATCAAGTCATTTCTGATTCAAGGCAAGGCCTAACCACCAGAATTAACAGTCTATTTGCATTTGAAGCTTTTGCTTCAATTCCTGTTTAAGGTAAGACAGGATGGTGCAAATTGGTGACCTGCAACAGCAGGGGGTTGGACCTGATGGCCTTCTTGGCCCTTTCCCACTATTCTATGAAAGTGTGAGTCTAGTAACCCTAAGATAGCTCACACCTCTTTGTCCATGGATAGGCCCGTGTTTCGCTGGATCCCTCCCCCGACTTCACGGCCTCCCTTGTGGACAACGAGGAGGAAGACTCTCATTGTCTCTGTGCAAATGAAAGGAAAACATTGTCTTGGACGGTGGTCCCGAAATCTCTGGGTAAGAGCGATCCCGATGCGCTGCCAAATCCTGGCTTCCATCACTGCACATGCACCCACTTCCCTCACCCAACTTGGCACGGCAGACGATTGGACTACACTTCCCACAGTTCCAGGCCCTTAGCCATGCTGCTTGGGCTTATGGGAGTTGAAGTCCAAAACACCCGGGGGCGGTCACGCTCTCAGAGAAAGTTGATGGGGCACACCTGAGTGCCGGAAAGCCAAGGGAGGAGAAGGGGAATTAGAGTAAGAGACGGTCAGAAATACATCGAGCTTCAATTCAGCACGGCACTAAGTTCTTCGTCCTGGTCTCTGTGCTGCACACATACGGGAGCTGCGCCTGCGCAGTGCTTGTTTTCGGAACGCTCCCTCAGCTCTAACCGTTTTTGGCGGGAACTCCGCTCCCCCTCCCCCTCCCCTCGAATAAACGGGCAGAGTCCGTTCCCTCTCGCCAGTCGGCTTTCAGCCGTCGTTAGCTGTACCTCAGGCTTTCTCTTTACTACACTTATATCAATTTACTTTACTCCATTTATCTTTAAAACTTATCTTACAACTTTACCCGAAATACTATCTCCTCAATGCCCAATCCTTCAACAGAAACAACCTTTCCACACGCTCCCTTTACCCCCCTCCTCCCCTCACACCCCTCCAAAAATAAAAATGAAATACAAACAAGCCCCACTATAGTCTCTCTTACTCTATTTCCTTTTCATTTCCTCAATGCTGCAGCCTGCAGCCTTCTGAAAGAGCCCTCAGTGCGGAGCAAAGATGTCGCCTCATTCGCCCTGCCTGATTTGGCTCGGTGAGGTCCATCGCGTGGGCAAATGTGTGCATTGAACATCCTGGTTCCTCCAGGAACTCCACACACATTGGCCTGATTATGTTTTTACATTTTTTAATAGTATCCAGATTTGGGGTGGGCACGCAGGTTATTCTCTATGTGAGGATAAAGTGGAAATTAAAAAGCACACACAACTGCTTGTAAAATACAGACAGTCCCCAGGTTAAGAATGAGTTCCATTCTTGAGAAAGCAGATATTAGTATTTTAAGTTGAATTTGAATGGCAGTTGGATCATATATACTCAGCTCTCCACATTCACCAGGGTTGGGGGCACTACCCAGGAAGTGAAAAAATTGCAAATATCTCTACCACCCCCCCCCCACTAGTGCCTCCCCTTTGCAGCCAGTAAATGCTTTGGTAGGCCTCCCTCTCTCCTCTTCTGCTTTTTCTCTCTCTATGGTGATGATGATATTAGGAATGGATTTTAAAAATTAATAGGCTTTCTGACAGTTCATAAGTATGGGTTTTTCATAACTTGGACATTTGTAACTCATGGACTGATTGTAGGTATTTTATGGTCTTGTATTTTATATAATTAGTCATGCCGGCCACATGTTGCAAATACAATTTAAATAAAACAATATTTTGATTCAGAAGTAAACATGTCATACTCATACTCCTTGGAGAAAAGGCAGGGATGAGTTCAGTAAACATAAATGTACGCTAAAAACATGGTGCAATCCTTGCTTTTGTCCTAGGCGAAATCAACTTCATAGCAAGTGCAGAAACTCTGGGCTCAGACCAGCCATGTGAGAATGTATTAGTGGAGAAGCCCATAAAACGACAAAAGGACACTGTCATCAGATCAGTTTTGGTTGAGGTACAGGAGCAGCACCGAATACAGGACTCTGGCTTATGTGAAGTCTAACCGTTGGACCAACCAACTCTGCCCTGTCTACAACAGAGGTGCATAACCTCTGAGGCCCTGTGGCCTCCCTCAGTGCTTATTTATTTATTTATTATTATCTTTATATCCCACCCTTTCTGCCCCCTAAAGAACTCAGAGTGGCTTACATCATTCTCCTCCTGCTTTTCATCCCCACCACAAGAACCCTGAGAGGTAGGCTAGGCTAAGAGTCTGCGACTGGCCCAAATCACCCAGCCAGCTCCATGGCTGAGTGGAGACTAGAACCCCGATCACCTGAGTCCCAGACCCTTGCTCTTCACCATTACACCACCCTGGCTGTCTAAGATCAATTTTCCCCATTTCTCTTTCCACTATGGGCCTACCACATATGTTAGAATCTTACACACTATTATTATTATTAACATTATAGTTATTGTTATACTATTAAATTTCTATATTGTCCATAGCTGAAACTCTCTGGTAGGTTCACAACATTTTAAGTCACCCATCCTGATTTTACCCATCCCTGCTTACCTTCCAAGATTTGGCAGGATCAGGCACTTCTGGCTTGCTCTAGCATTGAGGATCTCCTGTTCATACATTCAAACAGATGCACATAGACATCTGCGTGAATGTGTGCAAATGTGAACACTTGGGTTACTCAGCTCTAGCTGAAAGAAGCCATAACTGCACACAAGATCCCACATGCAGGGTATAAATACAAAGGCACCCACCATCCCGTCTACCTCAGCAACTGGTGCACCTAGGCTTTCTGCCTCTGATACTGGCAGAAGCCTAGGACCATGAGGACTAGAAGCCATGAATAGCCTTCTCCACGAATTGTTCCAATCCCTGTTTCAAACCATCCAAATTGGTGGTCATCACTGCATCTTTGGGCAGCAAACTGCAGAGTTTCACTTTGGCTTGCATGGGTAAGGCCTTCCAGAATCTCCTACCCACCAGATTTATGGCATGACCCCTTATTTATTTCTTTTTTTAAGCTCAACAGCCCATGCAACGGATCCCTACAGTTTTCACACAAGTCTTCAGAGCAGCTGCTCTTGGAATATGGTGTTTGCTTTGCCTTGCCTGAAAAAGGGCGTGACTGAGTTGGAAAGGGTGCAGACAAAGGCAACAAAAATGATCAGGGGGCTGGAGCAGTTCCTTCTATGCGGAGCAACTGCAAAAACTGGAACTGTTTAGCTTAGAAACAAGGCAAGGAAGGAGAGACGTGATAGAGATGTTTAAGATTATGCAAGATATGGAGAAAGTAGAGGGACATTTTGCTCCCTCTCTCATAAAATCTGGACACTTTCATTTATTTTTATTTCATTTACGAGCAATGCTGATGCATGGCTTCATATTCTAAAATCCCTACAAAGATGACATATAAATACCAAATCCCACAAGAACCCCAAACAACATGGAAAATGGCGGGATGGAGTGACATATGCTTAATTTCTCCTTTTCCTTTCTCTCGTCCAGAAGCCTGAAGGGATTCAGAAGCAAGTGGTCTTCAACTCCATCCTCTCTGCAAGCGGTGAGTGCCGACTGAGGTCCATTTCCTCCATTTACCTGGGCAGGTGGAACGTTGTTTACTTGTCTGAGATGAGCACCTGGCTAAAACCCATTTGTAGTTCCTCTGTGGTGTAGCAGTACAGAGAAGGGGCAATGAAAATGATGAAGGGGCTGGAGCAGTGCCCCTTGAGGAGCACCTACAACAGCTGGAACTGTTCAACTTAGAAAAAGGGCGAGTGAGCGGAGATATGATAGAGGTGTCCTGATTTAGGCCTGGTGTGGTGAAAGCGGAGAGGGGGGCATTCTTCTCCCTCTGCCATAACACTTGGACCCAAAGGGGTCACTGATGGGAGGGAGATAAAACGAAGTCCTTCTTCACACAACATTTAGCTAACCAATGGAATTCACTGCCATTGGGTCTGTTGATGGGCACCAGTCTGGATGGCTTTCAAAAAGGAATAGGTGAATTCTGGGAGAAGGAGGAGGAGGAGGAGGAGGAGGCTCTCCATGGCTACTAGACCTGCTGGGCATGTGCTCCCTACTTCACCAGTGGCGGCCTGCTTGCACGTGCCAGTTGCTGAGGAGCTGAGCAGGCCAAGGTCTTGCATTCATCCTGCTGAAGGGTTTGCCACTGTGTGTGCAGAATGCTGAACCAGATGCATAGCTTGGTCCCCATGGTTGTTCTTATGTTTTTATGATGCATTTGGAGTGTGGCCACTCATCATGGCAGTCCCACAGCCAAAACCCCAAAAAATGCAAACTGCTGGGAGCATTTGCCACTATCACTTCCCCCAAGCATGCACACACAGAGCTACTGTGAGGATTGCAGCTAAACCTAGAAAAATTCTCCACAGAATTCTGGGAGAAGGGCATGGCAGATGATCCCATGCTCCCTTTTCCTTGAAATTTATTTATTTTTTATTCATTAAGAGCATATTTATGCTGCCCCATTCGCAAAAAGCCTCGAAGGGGCTTTGTGCTTTGACCTCAGAAGCCCTGGCTCTGTTACCACACCACACAAGGCAGTGATTGGGTTCACATGTCACATTAAGCAACTGTGTGTGGAGGTGTTTACTGTTTAGGACTTGTCATGTTCTCTTGACTTAGTCATGCTATTTCTCCACAGCTTCTTTTCGGCTCCATAGCTTCTTTTCCGCTATCACAATGATGAGATTAAGAAGCCCTGTCCAAGCAGGCAAAGAAAACATAATGAGGGCAGGGAAGGAGCACATTTGCCAGCACTGCCTCCAGCACTGCCATGCGTGCAGACTGCACTCCGATCTTCGCACACTGAGTAGGAAGGTCTGAATGGGGCTCCACTGGGCCTTCAGCTGAGGGGGCTTGGAATCCTTTCTCGGACCAGAAACCTGGGTAGCAGTGGCCAGGAAAATCCTACCCTGAGTAGGCATTTGGCTGACATGACCTCCAAGATGCCCTCCAGCATTATGATCTTAAGAATAAAAGTTGGATGGGGAATGCGGAGGGAGAGGCAAGGTGTTACTGGAGAGTAAGCAATCAGCAGGAACAAAACTCTGTTTCTCTTGCAGAAAATGCCCAGTCGACACCCAGCTCTCTGGAGCTACCCAAAAATGTTGTGGAGGGCTCTGCCAGGGCTTCCTTCTGTGTGCTGGGTAAGTGAGGCTACTCCCAACGCTACTACTGGTCTTGTCCCCACACTCTGAATCCACCTCAATCCCTTTGTTTACCTACCACACACCAATTGCTTTCCTTTCGCTTTTCCTTTGCACCAATCCAGCACTTTTATTTCCCAACTTCAGTTGATCTCCATTCCCAAAATGGAGCTCCAAGGAGAGCTCATAGAAAGTTCATAAGAAAAGCTGCAGTGGATAAGGAGCCCCTGTACCATAGGCGTGGAAGACTGCCTTATTCTTGGTCCTTTTTGGTACCTTGATGCCCAAAATAGAAACAAACAAATGATTCACACAGCATCAGTAGTACAGCTTATATAGAGGGAAGGAGGGAGGGGGAAGTGATACATTCTACCCTCAAGTTGTTAACAAAAGAGCATGATCAGTTAGCCCCTATTGAAGCCTCAGTGTGAAACCCCTAAGAGCTGCTGTCAATCTAGGCACAAAACACCAGTCTAGACAGACAAATAGATTGGCTGGGTGTAGAATTGTTGTCGTGAGCTGGGGTTATCCTACTCCAAAACTCCTTTTCCCAATAGGCTTACTGTTACATGCCTCTGAGTTCACCCAGAGTTGAAATGTTGAACCCTCGTTAACATCAATCATTTCCCCTTGTGCTTTTATACTCCTTCAGCACCTCCCTCCGGAAGGCAGGACTCTATGAAATCATGTTCTCCTGCATTCTCCCCATCTTTGACCCAATTGACCCTTCCACTAGTACTCGCACATAGTGACCAGTTTGACCTCCTCTGGAGGAAGGACTTCAGTGTCTGACAAACTACCGAGTTCTCTATCCTCACTCCCCTGTTGCGGGACACTTTCAGGCTCTGGCTCTAGTACCTCTCCATGGATTGGTATACTGGGGCTCCCACCAGTTCAATCTGTCAACTCCTCCTCCTTTTCCCCTATTTCCCCATTCCTGTGGTGTATCAACCCACACTCTCCTCAGCCCAAACTACCAACTGCGTCCCCCATAACTACTCGGACATCCCCTGACTTTGGTCTCCTGCTTGGGCATGTAAAATTCCACAGCAATCTCCTTCTGTCTATCTGAGGTCGAGTTCCCATCTGCCTGCTTGTGTCTGGCTACCTTAGCCACATTCTTGTGGTGGGTGGGGCGAAAGGCAAAGGGGGTGGGGCAAGAATGCCAGGATATTTTAGCTTAAAGGTCTTGCAGCCAGTAACAGAGCCTTAGGAGAAGGCATTCCGACGGAGTAGAGTGGAATGCTCAGGGTAAGTCATGCACAAAACTTTAGAAACCACCAAATGATCCACTGCTGGGGAAAACAGGTGAGGATAGAGAACAGGAGTGTTGCCATGTGGGAAACTGGGATCCCAGGTGGGCCATACTTGATGCACAAAGTGGAGATTCAACACCATTGGCTCAGGGTGGCAAAAGCAAAGGTGGTTCTCTGGCCCAAAGGATGTAAGGAGCATCCTCAAAGGACAATTTGTTTGCTATTCTTTAGCAGCACAACATGGATATATGCATTCTTGTAATTTGGGTTTTACAAGCTCTGCAGCATGTACAAGCGTGATGCAGCTGCCTCGGCCAGGTAGACACCCACATGGGCTTCCCACATAGCCCAGATTTGGTCTGTGAGCTTGTGAGCTGTGCATTAGAGACCAGCACCTGAGGCAGCCACTGCTGTCGTATTGCTTACCCCAATCTCCAATCTTCCAGATCATTCCATTTCTGACACCCTACTTGTGCTGCCTCTGTCCTCCTCATCATGTATTTTCTGACCTTCCCTGTTTTGTACACATTTGTAGGTGCCTTTCTTTATGTGTTTATGACATTCCCAACATACTTTTCCCCCACTACAGAGTTCAAAGTGGTTACATGGGGTTCCCAGGTGGTCTTTCCTCTAAGCACTGGCCAGACCCAGACCTGCTTAGCTTCAGGAAGGTGGCTCCTTCAAGTGCCTTCAAACCAGACTCTCCAGCACATTCTTCCTCCTCGCCCTTTGGCTTTTTATCCCCAAACTCTCTTCTCACTCTCTAGCTGGTGGGGTTCAGCACTTCAGTTGCCTAGCCTACAGCGTGTTCCAGTCACCAACAGTTCTGCTCTGACCGACGGTGTCCCCTTCCTTTTCTTCCCCTACCCCAACCCAGGAGACATGCTGGGCTCAGCCATACAGAACCTGCACCAGCTTCTCCAGATGCCACATGGCTGCGGGGAGCAGAACATGGCCCTCTTTGCCCCCAACATCTACTTCCTGGACTGAGTAAGACCGGGCAGCTGACGGAAAAAATCAGATCCAATGCCCTCAAATATTTAGTGACTGGTGAGAAAGCGCGGTGAGGATTCTAGTCTTGGCATTTTGCTTGGTAGGTTCATAGATTCCCTCAGGCAGCTTTAATGGGCAGCCAGTAGATTAATCAACTAAACTGTTAGAGGATTAACTGGAAGGGCCTCTTTTAATCATGGGGGAGTGCAAATTCAGGGCATACTGATGGACAGGCTTTGACATCTGGGAGTCCTTCCAGCTGCTATAGTGGTATGGGAGGGAGCAGATTAATCAACATAACAGGAGAATTGCCCTGCTGGGTCAGGCCAAGGAGAGACCATCTAATCAAGCTTTCCATTCACACATTAGTCAGCCATGTGTCTACAGGAAACCCACAAGTAGGACAAGAATGCAATTTCCCCGTGACGAGTGTACAAGCACACTGCCTCTGATCCTGAGGTCGTATATGTCCGTGAGGACTAGTAGCTCTGAATAGCCTTCTCCTCCATGAAAGTGTCTAATCCCCTTTTCAAACCCATCCAAATTGGTGGACATCACCGATTTGTGGATGTGAATTCCGCAGTTTCATTCTGATGTGTGTGAAGAAATCCTTCTTTGGATTGAGAAGACCTTTTGCATTTTAGGGTTCTGAGAGAAGGCAAATAGGTCTCCTTGCCCCCTTTCGCTGCACCATGCACAATTTTGTTCACATTTCTCCTGTTTTCCCTTACTTATTTTTTTTAGGCTAAGCAATCCTAGATGTTGTAACCTTTCCTCACAGGGAAGTTGTGCCAGTCCCTAAAGTTTCTGTTGATAACTTAGTTGACTAATTGGTGGACATATTTTCAAGTTCAGGACACACCTAAGAGCCTGGTTCCCCCAGTTGCAATGTATGGCTGTGAAAACTGGACCATTAGGAAGCCTGAGCGCCGAAGAATTCAGGCCTTTGAATTGTGGTGCTGGAGGAGACTCCTGCGAGTCCCTTGGACTGCAAGGTGTTCAAACCGGTCAGTCCTAGAGGAGATCAACCCTGACTGCTCTTTAGAAGGCCAGATACTGAAGATGAAACTCAAATACTTTGGCCACCTAATGAGAAGGAAGGACTCCCTGGAGAAGAGCCTAATGCTGGGAACAATAGGTGGCAAAAGAAGAAGGGGGCGGCAGAGGATGAGGTGGCTGGATGGAGTCACTGAAGCAGTTGGTGTGAACTTAAGTGGACTTCGGGGGATGGTGGAGGACAGGAAGGCCCGGAAGGGGTCGCAAAGGGTAGGATGCAACTTCGCAACTAGCCAAAGCAAGAACTTACACTTCTAGCTGTCCTTTCAGCTCTGAGCACTTTTTGGACTGAACACAGATTCAGATCTGTGGTGACAGTCCCCAAATTTCCAAACTTGCAATGTGGCTTGCAGCCAGGAAAAAAAGGGAAGTGTTGTTCATCGGCATAAGCACAATCAAAACAACTACATGGAAAATAATGCCTATATTTCCAGAAGGTACCCAACTGATAGGTAAATTTGCAAAAAACTCATGGAAATAGGCATCGATGTTTGTGCAAGGAATAGAAAAGCAAAGCTCGCAATCTGCAGTGGTCTTGAATCAGAATGAGCTTCAAGCCCATATCAGAATGCACTTTGACAAGCCTGAGGTGGGAGGGTTTGTACTTTCCTTAGGTCACAGCGCTCTCCAAGAGCAGACTACCAGTGCAACTCTGAGCCAGCAGTGTCCTGGAGATGATATACAGGAAAATGAGGCATGTTGGAAACACCTCTTTCCAAATGTGAAGGATACATGTACACAGACTGGGGAGGGGGGTGGGCTTCCCGTGTGATTCTAAGGTGGGATACTCCTTCTGTGGGGTATAGTTGTGGCAATCAAACAGAAAAATTAGCATTCAAACTCTATTTCAGGCTACCAGACGCAGCTGAGATATAAACACCCGGATGGATCTTACAGTACTTTTGGACCACTGGGTGAGGAGACAGGGAACACCTGGTGAGTTCTACACTGCCAGTCTCACCATTCAGAGGTCTGGGTGTGGATGCATTGTGAGGAGGCCTGACAAGCTGCGGTCTTTCTTTTTAAAATAGCAAGTTGCTCGCCCTTATGACCGTGAAGCTTGGAATGAAGGAGCTGGACTTTCACTGATTCAAACCATCAGTCCATTTACCTGAGAGTAGATAAAACTCACACAATTTAAAATATCGTAATAAAATAGGTCAAAATCATAAGATACAATTAAGAAAAAATAAAAATATATTTTTAAAACAGTGCAACTGATCTAATGTTAGCACCATAAGTGTGCCAAAAAGTAAGGTTTTTGCCAGGCACCTAAAACTCAATAAAGGGGCTGGTGAACCACAAGAGGCAATGCATTCCATAATTAGGGTGCCACCACAGAGAAGGCCCTCCTCCTTGCAGTTTGCCCCTTAACCTCCTTGTGGGGAGGAACGTGGAGGAGGATCGCAGTTGATGATCTTAAGAAAAGGGCAGGAATATATGGAATAAGGTGCTCCCTAAGATAATGTCGCCGCAAGCCATTTAGGGCTTTGTATGTCATAGTCAGTTATATGTTTATTTTTACTTAATTATGTATATTTTGAATTTATCCTGTTCTATTTTATGAGATTTTTAAATTGTGTTGCTTTTATATAATGATACTTTATTGGTATATATTATTGTAATGGCCACCCAGGGAGCATGATGCTAGTAAATAAATCTAGTATTTGTCAAAGGCTCAGTCCAGACAGCAGAACAGCCCACATTCAGGAGGTTGGGTTGTCATTGAAATGTGTGTCATTATGCCATTTGATTCCAGCAGAAGAACAAATCGTGGTGAACACTTCACAACCCAATCCCAAACCATGGGTTCTCTTCATCAGCTGGCTGTAATTCACAAGCACAGCTGGGTTCAGACCACACAGCAACCCATGTTCCACCAACAACCCATGATTCAATGAAAATGCACTCTCAAACAATACTCAACCCCTGAGTGTGGGTTACCTTACTATCTGAAGTTAGTTGGGGTCTGCAGAAGCAAGCACAAGGTCAAAATCTGCCAGGGATCCAAAATATCAATGTGTGGATCTTCCACTGAACTATCTTGACAGCCATAAAAGGATGGCTTAGAAAGACGGGGCAACAAGCCACTCAGGTCTGGACTTCTCTTGCAGGCTGACAGCTTTTGTGCTCAAGTCCTTTGGCCAGGCACGTTGCCACATCTTTGTGGATGGACAGCACATTGCAGATGCTCAGGCCTCCCTGGCTGCCCAGCAGAAGGAGAACGGCTGCTTCCGGAGCTTCGGCTCCCTCCTGAACAACGCGCTCAAGGTAGGGAAGGAGGTGTTGTGAGCGGAGCCGATCGCCACTCTCTGTGTGTGTTGCAGAGTTAGCATGATGGGGATTCTGAAGAGGCAGAGGAAGTTGGTGCTTGCGCACACATTGGGCTCCTCCCCGTCATGTGCAAATCATGGCCAGTTGTCTGCATAAGCAGGTCTGCCCCACCCAAACACTGGAAATCAGAGGGAAGATGGTGGGTCTTGGGAGGGACCCTAGGAAAGGAAAGGATGAACTTCTCGTGTCCTTCCTGCCTTCTTCCTTACAGGGTGGGCTTGATGATGAGGTCAAACACTCGGCATATATCACCTCTGCTTTGCTGGAGATCTCCCTACCTGTCACGGTAAGAATCTGTCTACTCCCCTCTGCAGCCAGTCAGGAACAGTCTCCTGCCCAGGCTGGAAAAACCACCCACAAAACAAAAGTAACCTCTCCTGGAGCCATCTTGAATCTGCTTCTCCTAGATTTGGCTTCCCTTAACCAAAAGATCTGCGATAGCTAGACAAATGGCCCTTCGCATTGATGGAAAGGGAAGATTTCCTTCATGTTTGTTTCCTTCTCAAACAAATCCACTAGCTGTATTTATTTAGCAAGAGGCTGTGTGTTTGGAGGCATTATCTTTTACACAGCACCCATCTGGGGTACATTGTGACAACCAGTTTGGATAAGATTTATATTAACTGTGAAGATCCTTCCCTCTTGCTTCATGAGATGCCTCATTTCTGCTCACATGTGATAACGATGTGAGCCGGAGGGCCAAAATTCAGTTCTAGGAAGACCAAGAGAACCAAATTCCAGAGGCTGGTGAAACAGAAGGAGAGGGGAGCAAAGCAGAAAAGGTGGGGCAATTTTACAAGAATAACCCACCTCTTTTAGCCAAAACTTCTTACCACTGTAAGTAACTGAGCCTTAGGAGAAGCATTTCAGTATTTGGGAATCTTCAGATCAGTTAATTCAAGATGGCAACAGTCATGCTAACAACCTGACCTGTTACTTCACCTATGATATTTTTGACCATGCTGGTACAAGCCCGCCCAACACAGCATGCCAGCCTCATAAGGAAAAAATAATGTTGTGTCCAGTGCAGTGCACCAGTTCAGAATAGATGTCATTCAAGCCCAATTTGCATAGGTTTGCAAAGGTTTTCAGAAGCTGCCACAAAGATGGATTGAGTTGATCGTCTTTCTTTTCCAGCAATCCCTGGTGCGTAATGCTTTGTTCTGCCTGGAGAGGGAAGCACAGACAGATGAGGTCGACATTTACACCCAGGCATTGTTAGCTTATGTCTTCACCCTTGCTGAGAAGGAGGATAAGAGGAAAGAGATGTTGCAGCTTCTGGAAGCAAATGCTGTCAAGGAAGGTGAGAAGTCAGCTCCCCGTGGCTGATGGAGCTTCATCTCTCCATCCAACCTCACTGGCTCTTCGTTTCCCTCTTAGTGAAGGGATGCACTCCTTCTAATACTTTTTCTACACAACCTAACATACATTACTCATTTGCCGTAGAAATGAGAAGTGGAGTAGGTATTATTTTTATTTACCTTATGCTTGCTTTTTGCATTCTGCTTTTCTTTAGCTATGATGAAGACAAAGTGACGTACAATTCAAAACACCCAAACACAATTAAAAACACATTCAATGGCTGCATCCACACAACAGGAGAATCCCACGTGGTTACCATGATCTACCCAGCAGACGATCAAGTGGTTTCTATATTACCATGGTTTCCATCCCCTGCACTCAGTCCTCCCACTGGAGGCATGGATCCCATCATGCACTGAACCTGATATTAATCCCAAGGTGCATCGTTCCATGCCTATATTACCGGCCCCTTCCTCAATGGGTTGCACACAGAAGATGAATGGCTGGAGCCGCTACAGTGGCACTCTTTCTAGAAGACCCTGTTGCATACCAGGACAGTAGAAACCATGATAATAAGTCCAGACAACACAAAAAGCCATGGTGGTACAAAGAAACCATAGAACAAACAATTGTTTCTTATTGTGGTTTCTAAAGACCAAACTTACCATGGTGAAATACAATTACTGGGTTCAGACAGCAGAATAGACCAGTGGTTCTCAACCTTTCCTTTACCACAGACCACCTTTAAATAACTTTTGTGGCCGCAGACCACCAAGACTTAACTCAAGATTTAAAGCACAAGACTGCATCAAACATTTATTTCAATTTTCTCATGAAGGGCCTTCAAATTTGAAGAGAAGGGGAAATAAGTTAATCTGTTAATGCACACACTCCTGCTATAATATCTGTATTGCAATGATTCCATACAAGTTTCAAATATTTGTATCAAAACTCTTTTCACTCAAATGGCCCATCTTATAGTATTTTAATGTTCTAATTCCAAATTTGATGTCAATTTTTACACTAAAATTTGATGAAAAGTTTTAGCAATTCTTCTTGCCTCCATGGACTACAGGTTGTGAATCACTGGAATAGACCATCAATGGTTTAAAAGAAAAGTTACATGGCTTGTTATGTTGTCTGTATTCAGCCACAAACCATAAATTATGGTTTTGAACAGTGAGTATGGGCAAGATTCAGATCTTGCTTAGGTTGGATGCCTTCAAACAGGGGCACCCGTGAGATAAATATGGATTGCCTAGAATTCTAGCCCAGCCTTCAAGGTTCTCCAAAGAGGACACATACTTATCCCATCGCCCTGTAACCTTACCCTCAACCTCCAATCATCTGGTGATGTAACAGGTCCTGGCCAGCTTTCCCCTATTCTAAAAATCTGGACTGCCTTTCCTAAGGAGTAGTTATTGTAAGTAAACACTTTCCGAGCTGGTATTTTGGGGTGCTTTGTACCAGCAGCTTGCCATTTGGCCAGCCCCTTCCCTGCCTGCCACTGGAATGTGTGCCCCAAGAGGTTCTCTGAAATTGAATGCAGCCTCTTGAGTTGGAAGAAGTTGGACAGTCCTGACGAGGGATGCCTGAGGAATCTGTCTGAGGGTGGAAATCCATCAGATTCCCTGTGATCAATTCCCTTGATGCCAGCCCACTTTGCAGCAGCCTTCAGTCCAAGAAGCTGGCAAATGCGCCTTGCATCCGCAAGGCATTTGCCAGGAATGGAGCCCTTTGGGCTGCTGCACTTTATGCAGAAGAAGGCTGGTTGCACAACACTGCCCAGAAGGAGCTGGCTGCTGCACCTACCAAAGAAGCAGATTGCTGGTTCCGCAACCTTCATTGCACAAGCATTCGCTGGCTTCTTCTCAGCTCGGCTTGGTTTGCAAGACCAGGCCAAGTCTGCAAATGCCAGAGGGACAGACTTAACCGGGGTTCATTCTCACCCTGCCCCTGACCTGTAAAGATTGTTTCCTTACTTTGATCAATACCCCGAGTTCAACGAGAAAGCAAAATATGTGCATTCTGAGCCTCTCACACACCCATTATGTTGAAGTCTGTGGTTTTACACTGTTTGGCCAATGTAGGTTCTACCGCCTTTGTCTCGAACATTTTGGGAAAAGAGAATCACTTTGCAGCTTCTGTAGAAAGCCTCTTTAGCCTTGGCAGGGTTGTCAGAGTACCTCTTCCAACCACAATTTACTCGGAAACTACGCTCAACCTCTGGGGCCTTCCTCCAAGTGCCAACCCTACAGAAAACTGGGAGAGTGGAGACACAGTGGAGGGCCTTCTCTGTGCTGGCCCCCTATCTTCAGAGAACTCCCTGGTGCAGCCTGCCTGGTACCAAACTTACCATCTTTTCAGTGCCAGCTCAAGACAGTCCTTTATTCAGAGGTCTATAATTATCCCCTCAGTCACACAGGGGTCTGAGCAGATTCCCCAAGTGCTTCTTTTCCTTTGCAAGATGTCTTTACTGTATTTCAAAGCAATTTTATATTCATTGTAACATTGTTGTTTTTATACTATTTCTATTTGCATTTTATTTCTATTTGTCTTGTTATACATGGTTGTTACAGTGAGATAAATAACAACAACAATAATTCCTTCTTCCTCTGAAGAGGATGGTTCTATTCACTGGCAGCAGCCTAGGGAGCAAGAGAAGAAGGCCTTCAGTCCATTGAACAACCATCAGACTCGGTCCGTAGACATTGTGATGACGTCCTACGTTCTCCTTGCTCATGTTGAAAAGAAGCCAGCGCCATCCCCAGAAGAAATGTCGATATCGTCCCGCATTGCCAAGTGGCTAACCGGGCAACAGAATCCTACTGGGGGATTCCTTTCCACTCAGGTAATTCCCAGCCTACCAAGATCTGGGCATTGGAGGATGGTGGAAGGGGCAGGTATCTGAAAATTTGATGGCAAAATCTTGAACTTGCAGCCATACAATAGCTCTTGGAGAGCCAACAGAAAAACTCTCTTGTCTTGAGGGGTGATCTGTCGGGGGGACATGCTGGAATTTACTGAACAAATCCAAAGCCAACATTTGACATAGCCTCTACCTTTTCTCTTTCTTTCTAAGATCTCCTTTCCCCTCTAATCTCTCTGTCGATCACCCCCTTTGCTTTCACTTCCAACAATGGATTCCCCTTCTCTCTGTGGTGCTCCCATTTTTCCTCTCTCTCTTTAGCCCACCGTCTTCTTTCTGCTCCCTCTCTCTTTCAGGCACGTTTTATTTTTTCCTCTCTCCCTCCCTTTTCTCCACTGTCCAGTGGGTTGCCAGAAGGCTTTCACAATTAGGCTGGTCTTAATTTCAGCTTCCCACTCTGGCTCTAGAAGAACAAAAAGTCAAGAGGGGTAACGACCAAGCCAGTAGGGATGTTGGCAAATATCCGATTCTTTGACCCATTGCACTTGCTGCAAATTTATGAAGGCTCCTTGGCTAAGGTCTTTTCTGGCTTGCTGCTCTAGTTTAAGGACAGACACAGGTAGAGATAGTGCAATCCCCTTGTCTCCGAGATGTTTTCACTTTGGTCTTTGTTCCAGGACACTGTCGTGGCCCTTCAGGCTCTTTCCAAGTACAGCACCTTGGACTATTCGCAGAGCAGAGCAGTCAGCAAAGTGTCCCTGAGTTCAGGAGCGGATTTCCAGAAGGAATTCCACGTGGACAGCACTAACTCTTTGTTGCTGCAGAGCCAAGCTCTGCCCAAAGTGCCCGGGAACTACCAGGCAGAAGTGACGGGAGGACGTTCTGTCTTGTTACAGGTGAGCCAGCTCTAGGCCCACTCTGGTGCCAGGGGGAAAGGCAAAACTGATCTCAGATCAAGTTGGAGACTGCAGGGCACAGAGGGAGGAGAACTCAGGAAGGGAGAGGAAGGATGGAGAAGGTCTGGGGTGAAACAGGTGGAGCTGTCGGGGGTAGAGGGAGACTGGGGGAAGGAGAAAGCTCTAGGCACACAGGCCCCACCAATGTCCTACCTGTCCATCTCAGCAGCACTCTGGCAGTTTTTTATGGACAAGTGAAACCCATCCTGATTCTGCATGAGTTTGTGACTTATTTTTTAAAATTCCGTACTGCAAAGACTTGCTTTTGCATGTGTGCGTTTTTCCTAACATAGGCATTATTCCATGTGACTTGTTTGCATTTTTAAATCTATGTACTTTTTCCAAGTACTTTTTGTGATTGAAATATGGTTTTCTGCAGACATTTCTCAAATGTATACCTTCTGGACAAAGTATGGCACGGTGCTGGACTGGAGACCTGGGAGATTCAGGTTCAGGTCCTTACTAGGGGTATGTGAGGAATCCATTTTTAGGGTGGGGATCTGTCAGATTCCCTGGGCTTAGCTCCTTGGCTGTTTTCTCATAGCCACAAGTCTGACTTGGTGCTGAGCACTCCTGGTGTTCTTGTGGATGCCCACTGGGAAGCCAGTCCTCATGAATGCTGCACAAGAGGCACAACCAGCAAATTCTTCCGTGCTCACAACTAATGGCTTTTGTACACCATGAGCTGCAGAAGAAGCTTGCTAGCTGCATAAACAGCATTCCACGAGTGTTCACAGACTTCCCCTTGAGTTGACTCTCTTCCTAAGCAAGGGCCGAGCATGAGAAAAAGTTCAATGAGCAAAGAAGGGACAGATTCTTGGGAGGATCACTGCAACCCAAGTCCCCACTTTGGGCCAATCAGGAACTCTCAGACTAACCTACCTCACAGGGTTGTTGTGAGGATGATAGCATGAACACAGGCTCTTCCCTTCACACATTCAAAGCCACATGTCTTTCTAGTAAAATGTTCTTTATTGACCAAGGCATTTTCCAGATGCACAAACATCCAGAATGAATCTCTGAGCATGCACAGAGTGGTTTGTTGAATCCAATCTAGTATTCACCTCCAGGAAGTCTCCTTGTGGGCCTGCCTGGGCCCCATCCCTTTGGGAGGGACCTTCTGAAAGCAAGCACGCCTCCTCCCTGCATGCTGACCCTCTAACTGGGCTACCCTCCTCTGCTGATGCCACTTCACGGGGTCAAGAGCTGTCCTGCCTTGCCTGGGTCAGAGAAACTTCCCTGCCCCAAGTCCCCTCCCACCAGCTGTACATCTTGGTTATTCTCAGAGGCCACCCACCCACCTGGAAGTCTGGCCTTGAGATAAGCATCTCCACTTCTCCCATCTCAGAGTCTCGCGATGGCCCATATTCCCTGCCCACCTCCTGAATCCTCCCCTTCCTCCTCTGCACCCACCCTCCTCCTTGTCCTGATTCTTCTGGAGACCAGCCAGCAACCCTGGGGAACATGGGCCCAAAAAATCCATTTTTCTCTCTCCCAACAGATGAAACAAAGTGGTAGAAGACTAAGTAAGCTACTTTGGGTTCCCAACATGAAGAGAAACGGTGGGCCATAAATGCCATCCCATGGCAATAGCAATTAGGGTTGGGATTGGTCCTTTTGTAATCTGTCCCTCAAGCATCTACAGACTTTGTCTCATGCTCAGCCCAGTCCTGCAAAGTGAGTCGAGCCAAGAGGGAGTCTGCAAACAGTCACAGCCCCCCAGCTACACAACCGGCAACCTTCTCCATTGAGTGCAGCAGCCCAAAGAGCAGCTGCAGGATGCAAAAGAGCACCGCTGCAAGCTGATGCACCAGGCAGCATTCCCAGCAGCAGAAGGGGCCCAATTTGGGGTGAGCCCCCTCCAAATACAGAGAGCACTTGTTAGGAACTCAACCTTAGAATCCAGACTTTGCAACAGCCTGGACTGCAGGGTGTCAAGCCCAGGGAATCCAATGGATTCCCACCCCCAAATGGATTCCCTGCACATTTCTTATAGCAATTTTTAGTAGCAAGCAATGATAATTTTGCCCCTGAGAAGATACGCCTTGGAAAGCTCATGGGAACAAGGATGTTCTTTTCTGTCCCATCAAAAGATGCACGTGAAACGATACATCTTTTGAACGTTTTTAATAGTATTATGTATTATGTTTATTTATTTATGTGAGCCGTTCCGAGGCTATAAGCGATGGGACAGCATACAAAAATTCTAAATAAATAAACAATGCACATAAAGACTCTTTGATGGGAGAAGAAAGTGAATATTTCAAAGATGCATAAAACTGAAGCATGCATTTGGGAAAAGATGCGCAAAAGATGTGCTGCTTTTCATGCAAAAGGAAATACACACAGCTCTCAATCTGACACAGACCCGAGTTGAAGGGAGCATGGAGATGGGATGCGGGGAACTCCACCCAACTTATGTTTGGCTGATTTACATCCCCCTAACACAGAGTGCCATTTCCTTTCCAGACCACTTTGAAGTATAATGTGCATCCAGACCAGGAAGAACCACCTTTTAAACTGGATCTGCATACAGTTCCTGAGGCTTGCATGGATCCCAAGGCCCAGACAAAATTTGCTCTTGCTCTAAATCTCAGGTAATATATTGACAGCCACCTGGGAATCTGGTCCACCATGGGAGCACCAGAATTGACCCCCATCCTTCCTGGGCTTGTGCTATTTTATACATTTATCTAGGATTGGGCAAACAAGAAATGGTAATGATTGCTCAGATTCTTGGAACATTATCTTGCTGCTGGTCTCATGCCCAATTCCTGTTTGCTGTTCCTCAAAAACAGAGGAAACAGCACAAATCAAACTGGCACAGACTGTGAGATTTGCACAAATTTCTCCCACATTGTACAAACTTCCAGGACTAAAGCAGGGCTGAATCTGCCTACTAGGAAACTTCTGCAAGAAGAATGGCATTAGGGTTGTGCAATTCAGATATGAACACAAATCCATCAACTGCCACACATTTTGAGGGGAAAAGGTAGTCTAAAAAAGCTCTGTTGTAATAATCCTCATTAATGATGTGCGGAGAAAATGGGATAGACTCGTAATTTACCTTATTTATTTATTTGTTTATCTTATTTATTTAAAACTTTTGTATACCGTCCCATCACTGACATCTTGGGATGGTTTACAACAACACTAAAATAAGATAGATAAATAAAAGTAGCACAGCATCCAATAATAATATAAAAACCATAATTTAAGACAAATAATGATTAAAATAGTAGAAAAATAAAAAGGTTTTCACCTGGAGCCAAAAGGAAAAAAGTGTTGGTGCCAGGCAAACCTCTCTGGGCTGCGTATTCCATAGTTGGGGCGCCACCGCAAAGAAAGCCGTCCTCCAGGTAATCACCCTCCTGATCTCTTTCAAGGAGGGCTCCTGGAGGAGGGCCTCTACCTCAGATCCCAAGGGGCAGGAGGACACATAGGGAAGAAGGTGCTCCTTCAGGACCCAAGCCATTTAGGGCTTTATAGGTCATCACCAGCACCTTAAATTGGGCCTGGACTTCAATTGGTAGCCACCATAGGCCCAATGCAGCAATATTAAATGAAATGTAACTGATGGTTCTTCGTCGTGGCCTCTGTGCATCACACATATGGGTGCTGCGCCTGCACAGTGCCTTTGGCCGGAAGATTACAAGCTAACAGTTTATTTTGGTGGGAAAAAGCTCCGCTCCTCCTCCCCCACAGCCTATAAAGAGCAGACCGTCCGCCATTTTGTTCAGTCTTTGCGACCGCCGTTCACTGTGCCTCGTGCCGCTTTTGACTATCACTTTGATCATTACTCGTAGCCTGTTTTTTCTCCTTTTACTCCCAGTTTTATATCCCTGATAGTTCTTGTTAGCTCTAGTTATTTCTACAGTTCTTGTTAGCTCTAGTTATTTCTACAGTTCTTGTTAGCTCTAGTTATTCTGCAGTTCTATCATTCTACCATTCTATTTTCTTCTTCTAAACATATATATATATATATATATATATATATATATATATATATTCTTACCCTCTGCACTGTCTCCCTTCTTCTTCTTGTGATGGCACAGCGAGCGGGCTTCCGCAAATGTGCGGAGTGCGGGTCGAAGATGTCACCATCTGACCCACACGACCTATGCCTCCTCTGCTTGGGGCAGGGACATAGGACCGACAGGTGCTCCCACTGTCTGGCCTTCTCCAAGCAGGCCAGAAAAAATCAGGAGAACCGCCTCCGGAGGCTCCTGTGGGATCGGGCTCTTATGCAGTCCGACCCACTGGTCGCCGCTCCGAAGCCTGGCCCGGCTGCGGTGGTCCCACCCTCCTGCCCGTCGGACGAAGGTGCCTCTACTTTGAGGGCCCCACCAGCTTCTCCCAAAAAGAAAAGCGAGAAGCGCAAGCATGCCGATGCTGACAAATCGGTCAAAAAGGCCAGGAAAGAGAAGCCCTCTAAGCCGGCCCGAAAGGCGAAGGATCCGGACCAACCCCGATACCGTGTCTCAGGTTCGACGGCAGCATCAGTACCGGCGCCAACCACCGTACCAACCCCACCTGAGCTGGCACTCCAGGCAGCCATGAGGGTTACCCCTCAAGGGTCTCCCCGTCGTGTGGCTGACCCCCCGACCAAACCACTTCCATCTCTCCAGCGGGGCTCAATCTCTGACGGAGAGATTCAGGACTCTCCCCCCAGGGCTAGGTCACCAACACCTATGCCCATGGCCACACTGGAGGCGGATGTCGTCGAATCCCCGCCCAGGGCCCGCCGGAGCAACTCCAGGGAGCAGCGATCCGAGCGATTCGAGGACTGGCGTTGCTCCTACTACCCATCTTGGGGCGAGCCATACTCGACTGGGTACTATCCCACGCTGAGGGATCGGTCCCCACCACACTCGTGATCGCCCGCTGCCTCTGGATCCAAGGCGCACATCCCTGGTACCCCGGGATGAAAGCAGCCGGTCCGCTTCGCCAGTGGAGTCTTCTTCGGCCGCTCCATACTATGGCGCAGACTCCAATGACTCGGACGTCGATTCTACCTCTCCCGACGTCGCGGTGACCTCCCAGGACCCCGCATCACCGGACAAGTCGCACATTTCTTTTGCGGAGCTGATGTCCAGGCTCGTCCAATCCCTGGACATCAATGCCGTCCAGCGGCCAGGACCGTCTACAGATAAAATCTATGACGTCTTCCGCGGGGAGCAGTCCACCTCCATCGTCCTGCCCTTGATCACCACCCTACGGCAGCCGATGACCCAGCCCTGGGACTTGCCCTCTCACCCTCAACCAACATCGCAGAGGTACGAAGCCATGTACCGGGTTCGGGAGGAGGACATACCATTCCTCCTCTGACACCCCAAGCCGAACTCGGTTGTGGTGGAGTCCTCCCAGGGAAGAGAGGCAAGGGGTCACACCGTGCCGCGAGATAAGGAGGGCCGCAAGATCGATTCCCTGGCCAGGAGGGTCTATGCAGCTTCAGGCTTGGGGCTGCGTATCTCAAACTACGAGGCTACGTTGGCAAGATACCAGTATTTTATAATGCAACGCCTCCACAACATCGTCTCAGCCCTCCCAGACCAACAAGGTGAATTGGCCAAAGTCTTGATTAAGGAGACGATGCACGTCGTGGTGCAACAGTTGTCCACAGCCAGGCACCATGTGGACACTAACTCGAGGGCATTGGTCGGTGCCGTTTCTCTTTGCAGGCATGCGTGGCTGAGGAGTGCCAACTTCCCCGAAGAGACCAAGCGGCGCATCGAGGAAATGCCCTTCGACAGGTCCGGGCTTTTCCATTCAAAGACGGACCATAAACTTAAAAAACTTCATGAGTCCCGCATGGCGGCCCAACGAATGGAGCTCCAGTCGCTTCCGAGGCATAAGTGGCCATGGAACCATCCGCCCTACAGACAGCTGTATCATCCCAGGCAACAGCCTCAGCACAGGCAACAGCAGTAGCACCGTCGACAACAGCCCCTGCAATGCTACCAGCAGGGCCGTCGCCGATATGATGACAGGAGGCAGCGTTGATGGGACTGGCGAACCATTCCTCTACCCTATCCTATACCCACCCCCCTCTCATCTGGGGACCGGCTGCAAAGCCGACTCCCCATCTGGGAGTCCATCATATCTGATGGATGAGTATTATCTATCATACAGCACGGCTATAGGATAGAATTCGACACCATTTCTCCATTGAGTCCGATTCGGTTTACATCTTGCACACCAGTACTGCTCAATGAAATACAACGACTTCTTCATAAAGGAGCGATTTGTCAAGTAACTCAATATGATGGGCATCACGGATTCTATTCTAGATACTTTACCGTTCCCAAATGGGACGGTGGCCTACGTCCGATTTTGGATTTACGTGGTGTGAATCAATTCATCCTGACGAGGAAGTTTCGAATGACCACCCTCCAAAATATTTTGCCGCTGCTTAGGAAAGAGGACTGGTTCACCTCATTGGACTTGAAGGATGCCTATTTTCACATTGCAATCCATCCCAAATATAGACGTTTCCTTCATTTTGCTGTTGCCCCCAATTTCTACGAATTCATGGTTCTACCTTTCGGTTTGGCTACCGCTCCGAGGGTGTTTACTAAATGCATGGCCCCTGTCTGTGCTTATCTACGCCTCCAGGGTATACAAGTTTATCCTTACCTCAACGACTGGCTCCTAGTCTCCAGGTCCAGGGAAGCGCTCCTCACTTCTATCCGTATTACCTGCGCCTTATTGGACGACCTGGGCCTTTGCATTAATACTGAGAAATCTTCTCTCCTTCCGGTACAGAAGCTTACATTCATCGGAGCCCACTTGGATTCGACGTTGGAAAAGGCGTTCCTCCCTCGGGACAGACAACTGACTCTCGCTTGCCATGTTCATCAAATGCGACGAGACAGATTGGTTCCGGCGAAGTCCATCCAGAGACTTCTATGACATATGGCTTCCGCCGTTGCAGTGGTGCCACACGCCAGACTGTGACTCCGTCCGTTGCAGCTGTTTTTCAACAAAGTGTTCCACCCACAGAGGGATCCACCGTCGAAACTCCTTCGAGTCCCATCCTCGGTCCTCCATTCGCTAATATGGTGGTCGAACCCGACCAATCTGACTGTTGGGGTCCCCTTCAGGTCCCGAGGCCCATCGATTACAGTCGGTACCAACGCATCTCTTCTAGGCTGGGGAGCGATATGCTCCGGCCTGTATACTCAAGGCACGTGGACTCGTCAAGAATCCACGAAGCATATCAACTTCCTGGAATTGTTGGTCGTGTTCAAAGCCCTACGCTCTTCCGAAGATGTTCTTCAACATTTTTTATCTGAACAAGCAAGGCGGAACGAAGTCTCCAACCCTGGCCAGACTTTCTATGGGACTGGTGCATTTCGAGAGATATTACGAAAATAGCAGTCCATCTGGCCGGTACGGACAACGTGGAAGCAGATCTTCTCAGCAGGCGCATGCTCATCTCTCACGAATGGGAACTGGACCCCCAGACACACGACAATCTTTTCCATCGCTGGGGGTTCCCCGACGTGGACTTGTTCGCCACACAACAGAACAAGGTGTGTGCGACTTTCTGCTTGAGAGCAGGAATCGGATACGAATCCCTAGGGGACGCCTTCATGATTCCATGGAACAATCTGAATTTCTACGCCTTTCCACTGATTCCGCTGGTGATGAGAGTCATAGCGAAGATCATTTGCGATCAGGCCACAGGGATACTAATTACTCCTTGGTGGCCACGCCAACCTTGGTTTTCCATGCTGCTGGACATTTCTCATGGAGAATACCTACATCTTCCACCGCTCCCGTTCTTGATAACCCAGAAAGATGGCGCACTTTGTCACCCAGATATATTATCATTAAAACTAACAGCGTGGCGAATCTGATAGCTGACTTCACTACCTCTCTATCAGTCACTACTCCAAGGGGTTCGAATCTGACCTTCAAATCCACTACTGTCCTCGTTACGTCTACACTGACAACTACTTCAAAAGGTTCGAACTCTACTTTCGAACCCAATACAGTTGCAACCTCCGAATCCGCTGGGGACGGCACTGCACCAGCACTGTCAGATCCGACTACTGTGCCATCGAATCCAACAGCCTTTCACCCGGACATTCAATACATATTGGACTCCGCTTTAAAGCCTTCTACACAGAGGTCTTACGAAGCTAAATGGAAGCGTTTCTCCACCTTTGCTGACTCTCATTCATTCTCTCCATTTACATCGTCAATTCCTCAAATTCTTCAGTTCCTCCTGGAATTACGCCACTCTGGACTGAAACCATCTTCGATTAAAGTATATACGGCAGCCATCACCTATCATCAGGGTATGGTGGACAGTTCGTCTATTTTCTCCCAACCTACTATTAAAAGGTTTTTGAAGGGGCTTTATAATCTGAATTTGTCAATCAGACCAGTAATGCCCACCTGGAGTCTCTCTGTTGTTCTGCAAGCGCTTACGAGAGCTCCTTTTGAACCGTTGGCCACAGTCGATTTACGTCTTGTCTCATGGAAGACAGCATTCCTAGTTGCGGTTACCTCAGCCCAGAGGGCCAGTGAACTCTGCGCTTTGCGCGTAGACCCACCTTATCTCAATTTTCATAGATAAAAGGTTGTCCTGCAGCTCGATCCATCTTTTCTGCCTAAGGTATCCACACCCTTTCACATGGGGCAAGATATTATTTTACCTGCCTTTTTTCTGGCTCCGTCTACTCCGTTAGAAAGGACATTACATTCACTTGACGTTCGACATTGTTTAGCATTCTACAGATCCAGGACTGAGTCTATCCGACATTCACATAGACTTTTCATTAAATATGCTACCAGGGGCCAAGGTACCCCTGTCACTCCGCAGAGACTTTCTAAGTGGATAGTTCATACCATCACCCTGTCTTACCAACTGGCCAATATCAACTTGCCCACTACCCCTCGAGGCCATTCGACTAGGGCTGTGGCTACCTCATCGGCCTTCGCATCAGGAATACCGATGGATGATGTATGTAGAGCTGCTACTTGGGTGAATCCTTGCACTTTCGCCAAACATTACAGCTTAGATGTCTGCGTTCGACAAGATTGTTCCTTCGGCAGAGCCGTTCTTTCATCTGTTCTTCGTTGAGGACACCTTCCCTCCTCCGTTATGGTAAGCTTGTTAATCTACCCATATGTGTGATGCACAGAGGCCACGACGAAGAAAAGCAGGTTGCTTACCTGTAACTGATGTTCTTCAAGTGGCCATCTGTGCAGTCACACAACCCACCCACCGGCCCCGCTTGGTGTCGGTGAGTGGACCTCTGTCGTTATTGAATGTTATCATTGTTTCTTGGTACCGATATTCATTGTTCTCTTGGTACCGATACTGTTCACAGTAGAACTCATTTACAAGTCATTTTTTCCACAAGAGGGCATCCGTTCGGTCGTCAAAGACTGAACAAAATGGTGGACGCTCCGCTCTTTATAGGCTGTGGGGGAGGGGGAGCGGAACTTTTTCCCGCCAAAATAAACCGTTAGCTTGTAATCTTCCAGCCAAAGGCACTGTGCAGGCGCAGCACCCATATGTGTGACTGCACAGATGGCCTCTCGAAGAACATCAGTTACAGGTAAGCAACCTGCTTTTACACTTAAGGATGCTTAAAAGTTCCCCCTCCCACATCATCATCATCATCACTATGATCCATTTATAATGGGGGCATTGAGCCTCCTTCATCCCAGGGACCAAATTCTACATTGGAGAAATTCTTGGGGTCCTCATTCCAGAGAAGGGTGTGGTGAAAAGGCACAACCAAAAGTACATTAAATACCGTTCCTTTCTAACTTAGAGCTCTTGCTGCCTTAAGCAAGCCTTGGGAGCGACTTTTAAGAATGGAGAGCGGAACCTTTCAAAAGCTGGGAAAACACACAGTTATCAGCACATAGGGAAAAGGGATATGGCCAAGAAAGGGGCCATGGCCTCCTAGGGAACCCCACAGGGCCAGAAGCTTCCCATCCCTGGACCACAGCATGGCTCTATTTGGACCCTTATCTGTTTTCCTGCAATAACCAACTAGATCTCTCTAAGAAACCGTCACTGAGCAGGATGTGGGCACCAACTGTGGCTCTCCAGCAAATGCAGCTGCAGAGGTAATATAAATAACCATCCCAGCTAGCGGCAAGTTGCCACCAAGATCCTGATTGTCCAGGAATTTGTCCCATCCCCTGCTAAAGCCAACTGAAGTTGGTGGGCAGCATCACCTCTGCTAGGAGACCTCGGTGACTCCTGTGTCCTCAGGCATCACAACGTTTCTTTGAAGGAGCTATCCACAGTGCTGAATTCCATCCCCAAGCTAAGTTCGCCACCATGAAGGTCCTGTGAAGCTCAGAAGAAAAGCTGCAATGGATGAGGAGCCCCGCTGGTAAAGGAGTCGGCACCTTCTCCTGGGTAGCCCACTCTGGAGCAGAACTGTGCTCTGCCATCTTTATTTCTCCTTATCCACACAGCAAGCCCATTAAAGAGTCTCCCCTGCCAAAGTGTGACTTCCCCACGGCAGCAATACAAGGAAGTGTGAAAAGGTTGCTCTCTCAGCATGTGCAAGGAATCTGTGGGTGTGAATCTGTTGGACTCCCTGGGCTGGCTTTTCTGCCTCTTTGCAGAGACCAAGTTCCTGAGGAGTGCGCCCAGCTTTTGGGGGTCACTTGAAAGGAATGGAGCCCCAAATGAAGCGTCAGTACCAACACAGTTTGGTTGCCGGGAGTGGTGCTTGCCACACGTGTTCCAAGCATGCCTCTTCCATACTGTTGCCACTGCCAGCAGCTCCAGGCAGGGAAGAAGGTTGGTTGTCAGGAATGGCACATGGCGCACACGCTGGCAGCGGATGCGTGAAGTTGCCAGTTGCACAACAGGGGCTTTGGGTGCATCCACAGACTTCCTCTTGGCTCTGCTCGCTTTGCAGGACCAGCCAACCACAAGGGGAAGCCCGCAGCTACTGGAGAGGCAGACCCCAAAAGACAGATTCCCAACCCTCGGCCTCCCCGCTGCATTGCTGGAGACTCAGCAGCTGGATTGGTTCTGATGGGTTGGTGATTTGGGGGTAAAGTGCTGGGTTAGGGTTCCAGCTTGTGACTTAGGTTCTGAGGCAGCACCAGGCTTCCTCTTCTGTCCAGGGCCCAGAATAGCAGCACTGGTGGTTGCAGGACTGGGCCCACAGTCAGTCATGGCCACCTGGGCTGAGCATCACCTGCGAGCCCTGAGGGAAGAGCTATATAAGAACCTGCTCTTCCCTCCAGATGCTGCCTCAGCAATGAAGGTTTTTGATGTTGCTGGAGTGTTCTGTCCCTTCTGGAGCCTCTTTCTGGAAACGCTGCCTGCCACCTTGCTCCTGCCTCCATTTCTGGACCCTGCTCAGCTTCTGTTCCCGTGCCTGGTGCCTGCTTCTCCTTGGCTTGTCTCTCTGGTTTTTGACTCCTGACTGGCTTTGGCTGCTCTTTGCCATTCAGACAGACTTACCTTGTCCTTCAGTTAGCGGCCTCAACTTCTGGACTGCTTGCCTGTGATTTGGAATAGGGCCTTGTACTGTATCGGTTGTCTGGGTCCTCGTGCCCCAATCCGATACCCAGCTGCCCACACCCTGGATGCTGACAGTGACTTCCTTTCCCTCCTTGTCTTGCAGCTATACTGGCCAGCGTGCAAACTCCAATATGGTGATTGTCGATGTTAAGATGCTGTCAGGATTCATCCCAGTGAAATCATCTGTGCAGAAGGTAACAGTTCTGTCTGTGCATCAGGCCATGGTCCCACTTTAGCCTAGCATTGCCAGCACTAAATGGCAGTAGATCTCTAGATTTCTAGGCAGAATTTTTTCCAGCCCTACCTGGAGGTGTTGAGGGTTGAACCTGGAACCTCTGGCATGCAAAGCAAGCACCCAACCATGGTGTTATTGTCCTTCTCCAAAAAAACAGAGTAAGATTCTAGTCCTCATGAGTCTGAATAAAGGGCAGGAGTCAATCTGAACACAGGAAGCTGCCTTCTGTGGAGGCAGATCCTGGACCCATCCTGCCTGGCATTGTTGCTGCTGATTTGCACTGGCTGTCCAGGGTTTCAGGAGGGATTTCTTTCTGTCCCTACCTAGGAATGTGCGAGGAATCTGCCTTGTGCAGAAAATCCACCAGGTTTCCTTGTTTTGGCTTCCCCGACTCCAGTTCACTTTCATGGAGTGCTCAGCAGGAATTGAGCTGGGAAGAAGATTGGCTGCCAGGAATGGCAGCTGGGGTGTGTGCCCAGTACTCCCCTTGCCACATGCGTGGCACCAGCAGCACGTGCCCATGCCCCACAGTAGCCTCTCCGTGCACTGAGAAAGGCCAGTTGCAGGGTACTCTGTCACAGGGCTCCCCCACAACCTGTAGCAACACACATGTGGCCTTCTCCAGTGCAGTGAGCAAGCAGGTGCTTCTACCAGTCACAAGGGCTGCTTTCTTGGCAGGTACCCCACAACAAGTTATGGAACGTGCTCCCCAGAGAGGTCCTCCTGGCGCCGTTGTTATTTGTTTTTCGGCGCCAGGCGAAGACCTTTTTATTTAAGCAGCATTTTAAATGTTAATATTATTGAATTTTATCTGGCCAGGGCGGCTTATTTTATTCTAGTGTATATATTTTAATTTTTATTTATGTGAATCTAATTTATTGTTGTAAGCCGCCCCGAGGCTTTGGCGAATGGGGTGGCATAAAAATGTTATAATAAATAAATAAACAAACAAACAAAAAGCTTCCAGGAGAGCAGCCACACACACACCCTTGACTGCTGCATGGGCCACTACTCTCTTCCATGCCAGCCAAAGGCTCAATGAGCATGTGTGGACTTCCTCTTGGCTCAGTTTCTTTGGAAGACCAAGTTGAGCACCAGTAGAAGCCCTTGAGTGCTTGGAGGGACAGATCTCAACAGGTTCATTCCATCCCTTCCTCTGCCTGGGGACCAAACCTGGGACTTTTCCCATGGGAAGCAGGAGCTCTACCTGAGCCAAGACTCCTGCCTTTGATGGCACAAGAAGGAGTAAGAAAATTAAGACTCCTCTAGCTGGCTCCTGCTGCCACCTTCTCCCTCTCCAGGTGTTTTCCTTAAAATAGACCAATTTTTGGAGACTCGTTTCCCTCCAGATTCCAAATCTTCAGCCAAGTGAGAGCCACACTTCAATTCAGACTAGAGCTGGGGAGACTCCGTCTCTCTCCTGCCAGTAGAATCTGTCCATTCTGTAGCATTCTTGGACTTCCTCCATTCTCAGTCCAGTCTTAGAAAGTGAGGCAAACTGAAAGGCAGTCAGTGAGCACTCACAGAGTGACCTTTACAGAATCAGCAACTGCGTCCCGTGTCACATGCAGCAGCACAAACAAAGGCAGCTGCATGACACGGGACAATGCTTTGCACATTGCGTGGGGCTCACCAGGAAGTTGGGCTCAGGGCTGCATCAAGGTGGACCAGAATCCGGAGAGCTGAGCAAAGAGAATCTGATGGATTCCCAACCCCAAAGCACACACACCCCTAATTTGGACATCTCCCAAATTTGTCCAGATCAGCCCAGTTCGGTTTCTAGATGCATGTCCCTACATGGATATCATTGCTCAGTAACAGTGAATCTGTCTCCACTTTGCCCCCTCCAGCTACAAAAGCAAGGGCAAGTGAAGCGAACTGAAGTGAGCACCGATCGTGTCCTGCTGTATTTGGAAGAGGTGAGTGTGGGTGGGGGCCAAGAGGGAAGATGAGAGAATGGTTCCTTTTGGAGGGCCATTGGGCACCGTGAGTTGAGGCTGTTTTCCACCTTCCTCCTTTCCAAAACTGGGTAGGAGTGCTAATACGCTGGAAGACAGAAAGAAGATTTAAAGTGATCTTAATAAATTGGAGCACTGGCCTGAAAACAAGTGAATGAAATTCAATAGGGACAAATGCCAAGTTCTACACTTAGCAAAAAGAAACCTACTGCACTGTTACAAGATGGGGAATGCTTGGCTCAACAATACTGCAAGTGAGAAGGATCCTGGAATTGTTGTAGATGACAAGCTGGATATGACTCAACCATTTGATGTGGCTGCAAAAAGGCCAAACGCTTCTTAGGCTGCATCACTTCCAAATCATGTGAAGGACAAATTCCCCTCTACTCAGCACTGGTTAGGTCTAATCTGGAGTGCTGTGTCCAGTTCGGGGCACCTGGCTAGAACTCCATGCTACTGAGGCTTTAGAAGGATGTTGTCTCAGCAGGTAGCCAAAGCCAACTGTAGCTTCATGCAGGGCAAGACCAGTTGCATGGTCAGCTCTGCCCCTGACTGGACCGTTAAATGTCCCTCTCCTGAAACTTCTAAAAGGATGGTGGAAATGAAGGTTCTGCCAGGGACTCATCTTCTCGACTGGAGGATGCTGACAGGGCTACACCCTCTAAGTTCAGATGGCCTAGAATAAGCTCACCCCCAAGAAGGGACCTGTACCTCATCCTTGTTAGACTGTCCTGCAAATGAGAAGATCTGGGGGCTGAGGGACAGCGTGAGTAGCAGCTCCACAGATTTCAGGCACACTTTTCCAGCTGTACCTGGAGAATCACACCTGAGACCTCCTGTCTACACACCATGTGCTCTGCCACTGAGTTATGGCCTTCTCAGCAGTGTGTTCCTACAGTGGCCAACCTGGTGCCTCTGGAAAGTTCACAAGCAGAACAGCAGTACCATGGGTGGTGGCTCATGAACATCCAATAAAAGGCACTTAATAAATTCCTAAATAAGTAAGAATAGGATTGGATTGACTAAGGCCATGGATTGGGATGGTTAGACCCAGACTTCAAATTAGATTTTGAATTTGAATCATTAGGCAACAATGGCTTTATAGGATTTGCTTCTCTTACCAAGATTTTTCTGTCCCCAGGCATATTTTATGGAAAGTTGTCAGTATGAACATTTTCAATGAAATAATAAATATTCTGTTTGCTTTCACTCCTGTCCCAGAATGACTTTCCCCAGCCTGGTGTCTCCCAGCTGTTTTGACAGCTCCCAGGATTTCTGACCCTTGACCAAGCTGACTGTGGCTGATGGGAGTTGAGGTCCAAGAGGCCTGGAAGGCCCCAGGTTGGAAAGGCACATGCATTGGAAAGGAGCTTGGAGGGCACCTCCTCTAACCCTTTAGAGTGTCCCTGAGAGATGACTTGCCTGACCCTGGGAGGACTTGCCCAGTGAGATCCCAGCTGACTCCAAATGCTTGTCCACAGGTGACCAGTGTGACTCAGCACTACTCCTTCATGGTGGAGCAGGAGGTGCCAGTGCAGGGCCTGAAACCTGCCTTCGTGACGGTCTACGATTACTATGAACCTGGTGAGAAAGGGATGCTCATGGCAGACCTCAGAATCATCGCTAATAATATTCGTTAATAAATAAGGATTGTATGTTCACCACCACCACCATCATCATCCCAACTGTCAGTTAACTCCTGAAGCCATTTAGGAAAAATAAAAATGGCATTGACAAATACAGGAAGGGGGGCACTTACACATGGAGGGAGAGAGAGAGAAGGATGGAGAGACAGACAGGGAAAGACAGACTGAGGAAGGAAGGCAGGCAGGTGGGAAGGATGGAAGGAGACACACAGCAAAAGGCTCCTAGAGAAGGAGCAACGGAGGGAGAGAGAGACCAACTGATGGATAGAGAAAGCTGCACAGAAGAAGAGAGAGAAAAACCAACACAAACACACAGAGAGAATCAGGCAAAGACACACTCGAGAGAAAGAACCACACGCACACATACCAAAAAAGGTACTCAGAGAAAGACAGAAAGACAGGTAGACAAAAACACAGAGAAACAAAGAGAAACAGTGAAAGAGAGACACTGGGAGAGACTGAGAGATTGTAAAGCCCACCCCTTTGAGAAAACACGAATCGACATGGGCTTGCAGAAGATTGAAAGCACTGTGCAAAAATGATGTGGGCACAGGTAAGGTGGAGGGGGTGACACGAAGATGCCCCGCAGTCTGATCCCAGCCACTGAGAAACACAAGCATAGACAGAGGGGAAGTGGGAAGAGCCGGAGAGAGACGCTGAATAGGTGAGGCAGAGAAAGGTGTGCAAACTGCTCCTTTAAGACAAAATTCAAAAAGACATGGGCAAACAGATGGTGGTGGAGGAGGAAGCTGCAGGAGGCAGAGTTGGGGAAATACCACATCTGTTCCTGACTCTCTTTCTCCCATCTCCCCCTGCCCCATTTTGTATTTCCAGATGAAAAGGCAGTTGCTGCGTACAGCGCCCCCTGCAGTACAGGTACAGTATGACCAAAATATGTTCCCCACAGAATTCCAATACTGCAGGTTGCTAGAGAATTGGGGCAGGAAGGGGGCTACTCCAGGCTTGTGTTGCTCTTCCATGGGATTGCCCATAATCCCTTAATATTTATATCTATAAATATACCTGTGCACTACAATTGACATCTCAGGCATTCCTTGGGAGGGTACTTCCAAGGGAGGCTCAGAGGGTGGCAACACAGGAAGAGGCCTTCCCAGTGGAGGCCCCTGATTAGAGAATGATCTCCCCATGGAGGCCCACCTGGTGCCAACCCTGTCATCTTTTTGTTGCCAGGTTCATTCTGCCCTCCACTCCCAGGAATGTCATGGTGCTTACCGACCTGGGATGGGACATTTATATCAGTAGTCTTTTTAATATAGTCAGTATTTTTTACTTCCGTTGTTTTAATCTGTTTAAGAAGTTTTGTTTTTTGTATTCTGGAATTTTTATATTGTATGTTATTATTTCTGGTTGTTTGCCCTGTCATGAATTGTTGTGACCCACCCAGGCAGCTTCAGGTATTGGCAGAACCAAAATGAAAATAGTACATTTTTTCAGAGTTTTGCATTGCTGAGGGCTTTTATCTTGTTTTTGTTTTCCCCTTAGGATTTCTTCTGTGCTCCATTTAAAAATTTGCATTAGGTTTTGCTACTTACTCTGCTTCATGGCATTAGGTGTTGTCTTGTAAACTGTCCAGAGAGCTTCAACTGATGGATGGATGGTACATAACTAAAATAGGCCTTAAGGGAGTGGGGTTTTTTTAATACTCTTTTCTCCACTGCAGATGAAACTAAACTGGGGAGCGCATGAAGAATGAAGATTTTTTTTCCATTGTGGTTTCTTTCCATGGAAAGCAGAAATTAATCTAACCAGTTGTTAATTAGTGAGTGATAAATCTAAGAAATGAACACACACTGAAGAGAATAATTTTTCTCCCCAAGCTTTAGCAACTGAACAATGGCTTCTGGTCCCTTCCACTTATTCCCAAATTTGCTCCATAGCTTTGTACATCCCAAACTCCGTGGCTCCATCTGTATTGAGAATAACCAGGCGAAGAGATTTGGAAGAACAGAATAATGTGAGCAAAAGTTTGTCAGAATTCCTGAAATTATTGCCTATGCATCCTTTCACCAGAGGCCAGAAAAAAGAGAGATTCTTCTGTATGACTGTTTCTTCTGTCTGGTAGGATTAAAAAGTAAAATGTGTTTTCTGTCCCTATATGTGTCTCAAGTGTATTTCTAACTGCTAGCAGTTTGGGGGAGTTGGAAGAAACTCTTTCTGAAAAAACTATTTTGTCTTATGATTTCTGGTTTTTTTCTGGTCAGACTCTAACCCAGAGGTAGGGCCAAATTTGCTAGGCCGGCAGCAAGAATGAAAGCCACACTGGATATGTTGAGTAGTTTTAAAGCAAAGGGGTGAGTTCTTTATTATAATTTATTATTTGTTTATTAGATGCGTAGCCCTCCATTTTTCTTTTAAAGAACTCAAAGTGGCTTATACTTCCTCCTGCTCCACATTTTATCCCCACAACAACAGCCCTGTGAGGTAGGTTAGGCTGAGAGTCTGTGACTCAGTCATCCAGTTGGCTCCATGGCTAAGTGGGGACTAGAACTTCAGGTAAAGAAAGTAGTGGATAAGAGAACCTTTCCTCTACTTTTAAACGCAGCTGACAAAGTGCTATAAACAGTCTGAAACAATATTTAAATAATTGAGAAAAACACTGATTACAACTAACACCCACATTCAGAAAAGGCCAGTGAAAATAGGTGAGGCCTCAGATCTTTCTGGAAGACCTCTGAAGAAAGGAGAGGATGAACTCCCACTTCCCCAACAGAAGTTCATTTCAGAGATGTGGGACCACTACCAAAAAGTCACCAACTCAGTGATGAGCAAGCAAAGCAGTTCTCCAAGTTTCTTGATTCCAAACTATTTACAAGGCTTTAAAAGATTCATGTCAGCACTTTAGATTGGTTTCAGAAATGGCAGCTGGAGCTGAGATCCTTGATATTGGATGGGATATAAATGTTTTAAATGAACAAATATTAATGTTACAGGGCCATCCACCCCCACCTCCCACCAATAACTGCACCAGCAGAAGTTTTCCAGTTGCCACTAGGAATGTGCTGAGCATCTCCAAAAACCACTTTGCACCTGCCCATCATAGTTCTTTCAGTGCTCATCCCTCCCCAAGGAAGCGAGCTGAGCCCAGAAGTCCACAAGTATTTCCAGACCCTCCGTTGCGCAACCAGCAACTCTTCCCAGCCACCTCTTGCTTCTGTCTCCACCCGCGCACAGGTGAAAGGGGTGCAGTGAGCAGGTGCGCCAACCAGTGTTCCTGGCAGTCAGACTTCTTCAAGGGCAGCAGTAAGCATAGAATCAAAGAAGAGTAGAATTGGAAGGGACCACAAAGGCCATTGGGTCCAACCCCCTGCTGTTGCAGGACACCACATTGCACCATCCCACTCAGACGGCTGTCCAGTTTCTTTTAGAATGTCTCTAGTGTGCGAGAGCCCACCACCTCCACAGGCAGCTGGTTCCACTGTCGTGTTGCTCTGACGGTGAGGAAGCCTTTCCTGATGTCCAGCCTGAATCTGGGTTGTCACAACTTAACTTGATTATTCCATGTCCTACATTCTGGTATCCTACATTCTGAGTTTTCACAATTTGAATGGATTATTCTTTGTCCCACCCTCTGGTATGGGTGAGAGATCTTGACCTTCCTCTTTGTGACAGCCCTTGAGGTACTTCTAGAGGGATATCATGTCCCCCCTCAGTCTTCTCAAGGCTGAGCATGTCCAGTTCTCTCAGTCTCTCCTCATAGCGCAGTGTTTCCAAACCCTGGCTCATTTTTTTCTTCTGTCTCACATGTGGCACAAGCAAAAGCTGAAAATGACAGCGGAATAGGGACACTGCTTGCTCAGCAGTCATGCAGGGCAAGATTCCTGGGGAAGGTGTGCACAGGTTTGGCACACTCCTCAGGAAGTGTAAGGAATGAAATCCAAGCAGTGACGATACGGGAGGCAAAGTACCAAGCAGTAATAGTTTAATACGTTCTTGCAAGAGCCGGCGCCCACCACACAGGCAGCGTGCCATTTTCACACAAGACATTGCCTTTTATTCCCTTTTCCCGGCTCGCAGACCCTGCCTCTTTCCTCCCACTGGCTGGGTTGCTAAGAGTTCACAATCTTCTCCGTCCACCTACATCATACCACACTCCTTGATATGTTCCCCCTCCTGCTCATCCGTCCCATGTTCATGCTAATGAGCCCATTACCTATGAGAGGTGTGTCAGTTATTATTCATGATCCTGTTAAGCGTGTGCACTACCTTCTAAGAATTCAACAGGTCAGCTTGGCCTTGTAGCCTCTCACTTGATGCCCACTCATTTCCTAAATCTTGTGGGAGGATGAGATAGGACGAACAGGCCTTCCTACAAGCTCATTATGGCCAGTTGTAAGAGGCAATCAATTTCCTACTCCCTTCCACAAAAGGTGACAGTTTTACCACTGCCCCCAACCTCACCCCCCTCTCTGGTGTTCTTCAGGACTTTGATGTAAGAAGCACTATTTCCTTTGTTACAACTCTCTACATGGTTCTGTCCTCAGGCCCTTTGGCCTTAAGAGGTTTCAATGATCCTACCCTAGCCCTTTATTCCACCCTTTCTTCAGTTTTCACCTTACCACTTAGTAACAGTAATTTTTCATTTCTCACAGGAAGTCAGGCTCAAAACCACAAGAAAGCAGGCCGGAGTCAGGGGAGCCAGGCCAAGGAATCCAGGATATTCCCAAACCCAAAATAGATTCCTTGGGCATCCCTAAAAGAAATGGAAACATTTTCTAACTAATTGAAAACACGATGTGGCACAATACAAAAGACTGTCAGAATGTATTACATGACATAATAACCCATGCACTTAGGCAACAAACTTACCGAATTGCTAGGAAGTAGCTCCCCACTAAACATCATAGGGTTTACCAAGGTATAGTTTGGATGCTAGGAAGTATTTCCTGACAGTTAGGACCCCAAGGGTATAGAATGGGCTTCCATGGGAGGTGGTTGAGGCCCCATCGGTGAAGGTGTTCAAGGATAGGCTGGACATGCACATGGCAGGCATATCATGAGTAAGCTGACTGGAGCCGAGGGTCAGACTAGATGACCGAGGAGACCCCTTCTGATTCGCTCTGTGTCTATATTTCTAGTTCTAAGTAAATCCTCAGTAGATCTTCCCCTACCCTATTATCAACATGCATAACAGTACAGAGTCCTGCTCCTTGGACCGGATGAAGCAGCAAAAAGAGCAAAAATAATCGTAGAAAAATCTCATGTATAACTTTATTAGGAAGCAAACAGATTGTGTTAATTACACAGAAGCATAAATAATCACCCATTAAAAATGTTTGTTTAAAAAACAGCTGGAGTTGCTGGCCCAGTTTGGCCTTTATGCGTACGATTAAGAAACAGAAGACTTGGAAACTTTTCCCGTTGCCTTTCACTTTATCTTCTGTCTGGGTGTAAGTTCTCAGTGCAGAGGTTTCCTTTGGTTCCCTAATACAAAAGTCTGTGATCAATGAAATGTGTTCCTTTATCGAGTGCCACTACCACCTCTTCCCACCACCATGCATTTTTTTCATAAAATAGCAGGCTTAAAAGTGAACTTCTAAAACTGATGTTTCCATCTAACTGTAAAATGTAATTAAAACTACAAATGGGCCACAAAGGAATTCCACTCAGGACAACCAACAGACAAGATTTACAAGGCTCAAAGTGGGACCCCAGTTCAGATGGGAGCTGGACCACAGTTGGGTTGATTGGTGCAAAATAAGATGCGCACTGTTTCCACACTCAAAGCGATTAGCCAGTTGTCTCTCTTGTGTGTGTTTTCTCATGCTTATTACAGCTGGCTTCATCAGCAATCCTCTTGCTCCCATGTGAATATTTCTAATGTCTTTAATTGTGATGCATTTTTTAAATGTATCTTTAATGGTCTCTGACTATGGAAGCTTCTCTCACACAGTGAGCATTGGAAAAGTCTCTCCTCAGTGTGATTTTTTTTCATGGACTTCAAGTTGCAGAAAGCTTAAAAATGACTTTCCACAGTATGAACAATAGTTCATGTTCTTTTTCTTATGGATTTTTTGATGCACTGTTAGGTATTGCATTCGAGCAAAGGCTTTGCTGCATATGGAACATCGGTACGGTTTCTCATTTGTATGGACACTTCCATGTAACTTAAGACCTCTTTTTGAAGTGAAGTGCTTTCCACACTTCAAACACATTAGTTTTTCTTCCTTCCCCTGGCATGCTGGAGTATCGGCAGGGATTGTTCTCTGAGAATCACTCTTTCCAGACTCTAACATTTCATTTGGATTGTCTTCTGCAGGGGTTCCCCCAGATGCAATGGGTTGCTTGTCACCTCTGTGTTCAAAAGGATTTTGTTGCTGAATTGGGGGAAGACACAATGGTCTATTTGAACAATGAGCAGTTTGATCTCCCATCTCCCCCTCTTCTGTCTGAGGGACGTTTTGAGCCCAGGCATTCTCCATCGCTTTATACTTGGCTCCTTTGGATGATCTTAAAATCAGCCAGCCTTGGTTCTCACTCGCCCAACAATCTCCTCCTGGAATTGAGAGATAACAGATGAGAGAACATAATAGAAGAATAATGGTATACAGCTCATTCCTAAATAGGGAGGGGTAACGCCAAAGAATTCAACCCACTTCTGCCTGGTGAACTTTGGAACACCTTTCTGACTCAGGAGCCAGAAATGGACCAAGTGAAGGGGGTTTGTGGCTTCTGAATGAAAGCAGGGTGTGATCTGCTTTTCTTAAAAATGGGTAAAGAAATGTGTGTAAATGTTCGGGTTTTGCAGCGCATCTGTGCAGCTTCTCAGCAGCCATGCTAGAGTCAAGAACCAAGAGACCCTGTGACAAGACACAGAGTTGAACAGAGAGGTACCAGCTGCTATCTCAAGCACTTATCCTTGAGATAAGAAGGTCCACCCACCACCTACGTGGTGTCCTGCAACAGCAGGGGGTTGGACTCGATGGCCTTCAGGGCCCCTTCCAACTCTACTATTCTATGATTCCATTGTTCATTGAAATTTCTGGCTCTTCTCTTCCTTCCCTCCCTTTTTCCCCACTGGCAGCTTCACACATCTTCTAGCGCTTTCTAGAATTTAGGGAGCCATCCATCAAATCTGTAACTT